CCACCACTGCCCTCTAGAGCTACAATACCTGAACTATATCTATTTGTAAATTGCAGACATCTGTACAAACGCTATTTGCAAATGTCAATGTCAATCATAATTATTGATGTCAATCATAATTTTTGAACTATTAAATAAATTTTTTGCGCCTTAAAAGTAATAAAACGTGTTAATGGTTGTGAAATGTATTGTTGTTGCGCGCAGAAATGTAACCAATTTGTAAGTATTGACTATCTTGCCGTCCTAAGCCAAAAAGACTCGTCACGTTATTATTAAATTATTCTCTTAGAAAAAAAGACGCATTTTAACTATACATACATTTTTGAGTACTATAGCTCCAATTAAATTGAACGTATCTTAAAAAATAATAAAGCGCTATAATTTATAAAGTAAAAATGTGGAGTTGCGTCTTTTTGGCTAAGCACGGCAGTATCGCTCTAGCGTAAAGATACTGTTTGATAATTATGAATTATTTAGGATTGCTTGTTTAATGGTAATTTAGTCCAGGCCAAGCCCAGGCTACTTATGGTTGTTTTAAAACCAATAGTTGGCAAGATGGATTTTTCACGGTTGGTTAGAACTTGCCAAAAGTCCACACTCCAAGCCTTGTACAAATTCCTATATGTATAAGTAGCCTGGACTAAATTATCAAATTTTGCAATATTCTCTTATAATTGAAGAATTAAGACTAATATTAAGACTGATATTTAAGTGTGCACTCCACAAACAAAAAAATATTCATGTATACCGATTATGTATTTAATATGTACATATAGATGTATGTATTTTATTTTATATTATATTATTAATACAATAAATAAATCTTATATTCATACTTCTTTTATTTAAAATACAGCAGTAAATAAAATATATAAAGGCACCCTACGAAGCATCAAAATTTAAATATGGCGCCAATATATGTTCAGAAATCTACTTTAATTTTTGGCATTGCTAAGGGTATTGTAGACCTAGATGGCGTCAATTTACTTTAGCCTTTTGCCGCTAGCGCTAGTGCAGTTTCCAATCAATGGGGTGTATTATCTTTGCCTATAGGTACCCAAAACAACTAAAAAAGTATTAAAATAGCAGGTTATTAGTAAAATATACAAAAATACACAGAGAAAAAAAAAATAGTAACCATCGATGCGCGATATTGATAAGTCCTGAATTTTCAAACGATGGTGCCACAATTATACATTATTGACACGATTGAGAATAACCATCCATTAAACGATTACTGTCAAAATTTCAGAATAATCTGTCAACAAGGTCATTAGATAAAAGACAAACAGTTAGGTTAGAGGTAGCGACAGATTTTTCGCTTTAATATAATATACATATATTATATAAAGCAATTTTTTCCCATAATATTTTAAACAGTAATATTAATGAAACTGAAAGTCTATCAAACTTTTAGTGGTGAAAACGTAAGAAAAAATAAACATGTTAAATTTAAAAGGTCCCCAACGTCAACAGATTCCTAATATTAAATAATATTAATAATAATATTAATATTAAAGGCTTTTTTATCTATGATATTAATTATACTAAAAGTGACAGATACCTTACCCCAAATGACTTTATTTATTAATACCATAGTTACAACAAAAATCCTTATTGCAAAACGATCCAAAACCTTATCAATATTTATTTTATTAGACTTCTTGTGTGAATTTACCTTAGTTACCAAAATGACACAATTAACAATAATTAAGTAAAATTTGCATTGTTTTATTTTTGAAATGAAGGTAAATTTAAATACAATGTGGTTTATTGTGGTTTAATTTTTTTCTCAAGTTTGCCCCACTAAAATTTTACTGTCTAAACTATCCAGGGGAAAACTGTCGCTTTGGGCTTCGATTGATGACAAGTCTATGTGTCGAGCAAATTTTATATTTTGGAAAAAACTATTAAAAATATTAAATCCGTGTCTTTATTAAGCAATGGTTTTTAATGAAAAAAAATATGGACGGCCATCCGACAAGTCTGCAAAATTCTATTGGATTGATTATAACATCTTTTGAATAAAAATATTTAAAACGTCATTTGGAAAAAGCAAAAACTATGTTTCACGAAGACAATTCATAAAAACCCGCCTATCCATTGAAAAAAATTAAGAATTAAGCTGGAAATTGCTGCCGCTTTTTCTGTAAACTCCAGGTTTTGCCCTCTGTGACTTAAATAATAGAAACAATCATGTTCAGGGATTAGATACGCCTATATATTAATAGCTGAAGTAATCGACGCAGTTGATGCATTTTTGACGAAAACAAGCAATCGTTCAATTCTGAAGGGATGAAGAAGTCAGAGTATCGTTAAAATAAATGTATCAAGCTAAAAGTATATAATTTCAAATAGTATAGTTACTGGATTACTCTGTAAATCAATGGTTCATGTTTTCTTTTCTCCGTCCAATTTTGTGAACAAGATATATCGCCGGAACTTGTGTGTTGTTGTTATCTCAATTATTAAAAATAAAGTTTTGTGTTAAATTAAAAGCCTTCTAAATAAAAATAAACCTCCTATTTGATAAAGGTAATCAATAACGCAACTTGTTATTAATCTGTTCGATGCATTTCCTATGTAACTAGTTATTTTGTACGTACCTCTTCGACCCAAAACAGGGGATGAAGACACGTGGTCACGTTCTTTAACAAATTTACTTTAGGTATGGGATGAACTGGCATATTAAATTGCAGTCTTTTTTTAGCTTCCATTGGTGTTCCAGAAAGCTTAAACAAACAGAAACTATATACACAACATTGTTTTTCAAGTATGAAAATTTAAATTTAATTTATTCAAGCAAAATTAAATCAAGTTGTTGAATAAAGTTTTAAAACTGGTGTAGGTTCTCATAAGCTTACCTGTTTTTCCTTATAATTTTTCATTTAACATAACATATTAAATTAGAAAATATAAGAATAATAAGTTTCGTGACTATAACTTTATTGTAATTTCATTCATTAAAAACATGCATATATATTAGGGTGTCCCAAAAAAAAGAATATTTTTTTTCTTCTCGCCTCTTGTGAAAATATGTTGGTTTGTCATGTTTTAAGAGCCCTGTCAAAAGATCAGCACCATTAAAAAATTTTTAGGGGTCGCTCAAGATTTTTAAAAATTACCAAAATCGTCAAAAATTGGATTTTTTTTTTATTTTAATTTTTTTTCTCTTTCCGATATTATTTTTTAATTTAAAAATAATAATGATTCTGAAAATTTTAAATCGATATTTTAATTTCTAAAGGTCGCTCAAGATTTTTTTAACTTTCAAAGTAGAGTATTTTGAATGTTTTCGAGCGACCTCTGAATATAAATATCAACGAACTTTTAGCGACCTTTAGAAATCAAAATATTGATTTGAAATTTACAGAATTTTTATTATTTTCAACCTAAAAAATAATATCGAGACGAGAAAAAGAATTAAAATAAAACAAAAATTCAATTTTTGACCATTTTGAAAATTTTTAAAAATCTTGAGCGACCCCTACAAAATTTTTAATCGAGCTGATATTTTAAAAGGGCTCTCACAGCATGATAAACTAACATATTTTTACAAGAGACAAGAAAAAAAAATATATTCTTTTTTTTTTGGGACACCCTAATATATATATATATATATTAGGGTGTGCCAAAAAAACTTGATATTTATTTTTTCTTGCTCTCCACCCAAAATATCGTAGAATATGTCCGAACAAATATTCTGTTAAAAGCGGAGCTCATAATTTCAATTTTAAGAGGTCCCTCATCGAATCTGAAGTTTTGCCGCTTAAATAACACAGAAAACTGACTGTTTTACCTTAAATTTGGACAAAAAAATCTTATTGAGCCGAAATTCTATTTTCATTATTTTATTTTTTTACAGAGCTTTTAATTTAAAATTTTACGTTTTTTGCCTTTTACAGCTAAACTATTGAAGTTAGACGAAAAAGTCAAATGGCAATTTTTTAGCTTGTCTGATGGACCACAAAAAAGTTTTAGGCGAATTTTTTGTATCGTCAATATTCTAAAAGTTACAGGCGTATAAATTCATCATTTTTGTATTATTAACTTTAAATTTAAAGCTCTGTAAAAAATCAAATAATGAAAATAGAAATTCGGCTTAATAAGATTTTTTTGTCCAAATTTAATGCTTTGTAAAAATTAGTCATGGATTTTATGAAAAAAAATTTCTTCCTAGGTTGCAAGAATAAATAAGGTAAAAAAGTCAGTTTTCTGTGTTATTTAAGCGGCAAAACTTCAGATTCGATGAGGGACCTCTTAAAATTGAAATTATGAGCTCCGCTTTTAACAGAATATTTGTTCGGACATATTCTACGATATTTTGGGCGGAGAGCAAGAAAAAAAATATATCGAGTTTTTTTGGCACACCCTAATATATATATATATATGAATTTCTATAGAAAACATTAATTAAAAACAATATCACTTACAGGTTCAAAAAATATATAAATAATATGATCATTTATCCTTGGATTAAGTCCATCCACCTGTGTAAGATAAATTTCATCGGCTAGTAAGAAATGTGGTAATGAACCCAAAATGTATACCCCCATACATTTAGACAGATCAAAAATTCCTTTTTTATTGCAAGTTTTTGAACAATAACATTTTTCATCCTCTCTGTGTTCCATGTCACCCATATCGGCATGATAACGTCTCAAATTTAAACCTTTATATTTAATGTCTTCAACAAAATATGCACCAACGCTCCTAAAATGTGTAATTAGTGTATTTTGTTGACAATCGTTGAAGAGATTTATATTTAAGTTGTTTCTGTGTGAAGGCAAAGATAATAAATATTATGAACGAAATCTAAAACATTGCTAGCTTACTAATCCAAATAAGACCATTGAAAAAAAAGCTGGTTGGTTAAAATTATTCCCAATAAGTAAAAGCAATATGATCGAGAATACGAACGCCAAAAAAATATCCCTTGTAAAATATTATTAAAAATACTTTCGTATTATCATGATTAAAACAATATTTTATATATTCATTTACCTGCACAAATCTGCAGAAAAGGACCAAACTCCTTCTTCCTTATCAAGGCCTGGAGGAAAAATCCATCCATCTGTACCTTTAAACCTGTTGCATTGTGGAGTACCCCATATTTTTAGTTCGTTCTGTGAATCCAACTCAAGTAGCCTGCCTAAATCCTTAGAATGTTTGATTCCTTTGAGAACTTTAAACCGTTTTTGATGAGTTCCATTTCTCTATAATAAATAAATATATTGCTTAATGGAGGATAGGCATTATAATAAATAGACTAGCCTATATTTTTGGTACATTTTTCAATCTTTTAATGTTTGATATAATGAGTATAAAGAAATATATGTTAAAACAAATATAAAATACATAGGTCCACGTAACAAATCAAACGTGCCGGTTAAAAGTCGAATTATACGACGCCATTCGACGTCGTGTGGACCCAAGCAGCATTTTAAGTAAAGCGTAGAGCTTTGAGGCAATATTACTTAATTTAAGTAAATATTTTGTTAAATTAACCTTCAAAATTTACTTTGAAGTAAAACTTTTTTTAAAGTTATAATATAAGTTTTATTTATGTTATTTTTACCTATTTTAATAACCCTTAAGTTTCAACACTTTATAGTATTATGAGGGACGTAATTTTTACGAAAGAAAATTACTTATAAGTGTATTTTACCTAAAGGAAAATTTAACGGTAATATTAACGTCAGAATTTTTACTTAATGGTAAATGTTACTCATAAGTCATAATTTTACGATATTAAGACCACTTTATAACCGTAAATAATTCCTATTCGCCTGGTATTTTTTAGGGTTATTAGTGGGTAATAAATACCAATAATATTGACTAAACAAGGAAGAATAAGCTTAAAGTGAAAAATAAAACTTTGCGGGATTTTTTTTTAGGCCGCCATAATGAGTTTTTTAAGATGGCATCCATTACTTATCTAAACATTTATATAATATTTTTTCATGAATATCTTTCTAAAATATAATAAGAAAAGTTTTAGTTATTAAAAAATGATTAAAACTAAATGATTTTTAAAAGATTTTATAAAATTTTGTAGGTTTTAAGTTTTGTTGAATTTTTACCCAAGCAATAATTTTTCTTAAAACCGTAAAATATTTAGAGAGCATATAATTTTTAAGACGTATCATACCTATTTTTATCAATAAAATAATGTGCGTTTGAGTTTTAATGCAAAATATTAATGGTTTTGACAATTTAAGTTATATTTTTTAATTTTACTCTAGGGTGGCCTTTATTACTTTGTAATTACTTAAGTACCTACCATTTTGTAAAATATAAATTAAAAGAACAAAGAAATTACGAATATCAATGTTTAAGAAAGAGAGAGCAAACAGTTAGTAATTATAGCGTTATTTTTACGTAAATTTGTGGTATTTATATTGTTTTTATTACGTAATTCTCTTAGTGGATCAAAAAGGTTATTATGTGGGTAAAATAACGAAATAAACCATTCCCCAAATTTGGTAATTTTTCGTATCTATACCGTTATAAAACCGTTTTGGTTAACCGTAAAAAATACTTTAAAGTTGACTTAGTAGTAAATTTGTAGTTATTTAAACTTAAAATGCTGCTTGGGGATTCCCCTTAAACCCTATTTATTATATTTTGTTGTTTTGATAACAACACATGGATTATTGTAGCCTTTGACAGTATTGCCAATTTTTTTTTAATTTTATCGAAAGCTATTACATGCGCAAAACGTAACAAAGAAAATAAAAACTAATTAAAGGTTGTGTCATATTACATTTAAAATTAAAGTAGATTTATACTGATTTACAACTAAAATGCAAAAAAACTACAAAATACATAGTATGCACTAAAAATAACTTATTATTAATAAATCATTCTCTTCATTCTCCTCTTTTTTTAGTAATGCAATTGCAGCTACATATATAACTTTGCAAATTAATTTCAAATAACTAAACTAAATAATCGAATTTAGTTTTTACGTTGAATCGCTTTATCAAAACGATGTGCGATTTACCTTCAATCGAAATTTGTCATATATGCTTAATGAGTCGCGTTTTAACCATTTTAAAGTTAACACCTGCTTTTAAATCAAAAGGTTACATATTGTTTTGGACTAAGCCATTTGAGACACATATATAATTCTCTCTCTTACTGACAATAAATTCAGAACATTTAACTTAACAGTTATAGGTGCATATTTATTACATGAGAACTAATTATTATAATAAAATGTTAATATTTATATAATACTATTGTATCCACATTGAATATTGCCGTGCAAAAATATGTCATTTACCATTATATACAGGGTGTTCCTTAATATCATGTACAAACAAAAGGGGGTGATTCTTTGGCTTATTTTATGAATAAAAGTTCCTATAAACATGGGCCCGCAAACGCTTCGTTACCGATCTACAGGGTGTTAAAGTTTGGAGATTTTTTTAGTTTTTATCTTATAACTTCTGCAGTTTTTGAGATATTTGGCCCAAATTCGGAATATAGGTTGGGATATAAGGCTTACATCATTGGGCATGCCAAATGGTTATAAGAATCTACAGGGCGATACTTTTTTGTATGTCATGCTCCCCTTTTTTCCCAAGAACTTTTTTATGGTGCGCTGCTGGTAGATTTTAAAATACAAAATAAGTTTTATGTTTTGTTTAGAAACTTTTTAGTAACCTAAAGTTTTTTCGTATCTGCAACCATTATCGAGAAAAAAAATATAACACAAGTTGTTGTCATTTGCGAGATGAAATTCAAATTTCTAAAATAATCTGGTTGGCTTTATTAATAATTTATTTTTATTTATTTTTAAAATAATATTTCTATACTTCTTATTAGAAACAAAACGGTTTTGGTTACAATGATTTATTTTAATACAAAAAACTTAAATATTTAGAAAAACTAGAAAATTACCTTACAACAATTGTTGTAATGGTGTACTCTTTTAAACATGATTTGAATTCATTTCTGCCACTACTTATTAAATATCAAATCTGAAATAAAATGGTTTATGTAGCTATTGGATACAACATCACAGACAACACACTGTCTACAACATCAAAAAAATACATAAAAACGATGCTATTGACAGCACGCATTTAAAGTTTTAAACTGCAAGGTGTAAAATTATTTAAAAGACTCGTTATAATTAAATTTCTTATAAGTCCGTAACAATGCCAAATTATACGAATTCTGAAATGGCTGACATGCATTTCATCTATGGCCTTGCGGATGGAAATGCAAGAGAAGCTACACGCCTGTACATGGAGCGCTATCCCGATAATAGAATAATACCCGATCATCGAACATTCACAAATATTCATAGGCGTCTTGCAGAAAGTGGAACTTTTAAAAAGAATACCAATGATGCAGGTAGACAATATACGGTAAGAACACCACAGATTGAAGAAGCTGTTTTAAATGAAATAGAAGAGCATCCAGATACTAGCACTAGAAAAATTAGTGAACATTTCAACATTAGTCATCAAGTTGTTTGGCGTATCCTGCGTGATTCTCTGCTATACCCTTACCACATTCAAAGGGTGCAGGCGCTCCTTCCTCGAGATTTCCCATTAAGGCTTAATTTCTGCCGATGGTACCTTGCCAGGCTAGCAAGAGACCCTAATTTTGACTGTAAAATCCTTTTTACCGACGAAGCCAACTTTTCTAGAGACTTAATTATAAATTTTCATAACAACCACATATGGGCTGAAGAAAATCCACATGAAATTGTAGAAACGCATTTTCAAGAACAGTTCTCGTTAAATGTATGGGGTGGTATAATTGGGGATTATTTGATTGGTCCTTTCTTTTTGCCTAATCGACTTAATGCTCAGTCATATAGGCATTTTCTTCAACATGAATTGCCTTTTTTAATAGAAGATTTGCCTGTTTTGCTAAGAAACCGTATTTGGTATATGCACGATGGCGCCCCAGCACATTTTTCTATTTTGGCTCGGGAGTATTTAAATGTAGCATATGAAAACAGGTGGATAGGACGGGGTGGACCTCAGCCATGGCCCCCTAGGTCTCCTGACCTAAACAGCCTGGATTTTTTCCTATGGGGGCATCTCAAATCTTTAGTCTATGCAACACCAGTTAATAATATAAATGACTTACAAAATCGGATAGTAGAAGCATTTGAAACCGTAAGAAATACTCCGGGGGTGTTTGAAAGAGTAAGGGCATCAATGAGAAGAAGAGCAGATGCTTGTGTGAGAATTGGAGGAGGTCACTTTCAACAATTGTTGTAATGTAGTTTTCTTGTTTTTCTAAATATTTAAGTTTTTTGTATTATAATAAATCATTTTAACAAAGAGCATTTTGTTTTTAACAAGAAGTGTAGAATAAATTGTTAAAATAAATAAAAATAAGTTATTATTAATAAAGCCAACCAGACCCTTTTAAAAATTTGAATTTCATCTCACAAATTTTGTTCTACATATTTTTCTCGATAACGGTCGCAAATACGAAAAAACTTTACGTTACCAAAAAGTTTTTAAACAAAACAGAAAATTTATTTTGTATTTTAAAATCTACCAGCAGCGCACCATAAAAAAGTTCTTGGGAAAAAAGGGGAGCATGACATACAAAAATGTATCGCCCTGTAGATTCTTATAACCATTTGGCATGCCCAATGATGTAAGCCTTATATCCCAACCTATATTCCGAATTTGGGCCAAATATCTCAAAAACTGCAGAAGTTATAAGATAAAAACTAAAAAAATCTCCAAACTTTAACACCCTGTAGATCGGTAACGAAGCGTTTGCGGGCCCATGTTTATAGGAACTTTAATTCATAAAATAAGCCAAAGAATCACCCCCTTTTGTTTGTACATGATATTAAGGAACACCCTGTATAATCCAAGAAATAAAATATTTTATATGAGTATGAGTATGAGTATGAGTATAAGAGACGTATAACCGTTTCCTTACGCCGATTTTCTTTCGCCACCAGCAACAGCATAGCTGTCTCCTATTTAGGGCTCGAGAGCGAAATGCCAATAGTTTAAATACCCATTCCCGGGTTCGCCGGGCCGATGCTATACGCTCAGTAAGGTCATGAAGGAGGTAGGACGGGAGGGATAGACATTTTAATGTTTGGGGGACAATTAGGCCCACTCAAATCTAAGTACGACGCGGAATCCCCCTAGACCAGACATTTAGTATTACTCCAAACATTTGGGATTACTGTATGGAGTTCGGGAGTTGTTATTTTGCTGCAGGGACCTACGTCTTGGTCTATGTTTTGGTCGTTATTCGTGTCCTTATCCAAGTAGTTTTTTTATATTTATTACCGAAATAGTGCGAAATTTCTAACAATTTTTTAGTTATTCATCTTCGCTGAGTTTAGATTTTAAGTTTCTGTTTGTTTTGGTCTCGTTTTGTTAAAAGTTTATTTTGTTGGGGCAGTTTTCTTAAATTAATGAGTTTATTGCCTTACACTTTGTTGATGACAGATTTATTGTCCTACTCAGCTCAGGTTTTGTTTTTTTTTGTTATATGTCTTTATTTCTGGTGTTTGCTTACTATTGTCTTACTAATGTTACTGTTGTTACTGATGCACTTTGTTTACTTTTTCTAGAGTTTAAGCAAAGTGACCAACTTAAGTTTTAAGGCAACTGTCGTGTCCAATGTTGCAAATTATGTGTTAGGTCATACAGATGTTTAAGGTTACCTTATCCGATTTTGCAGATGGCCTTTCCTCCCTTAGTTGTCATATTTTGTTTGTCTCGTGAAAGGCACGTTTTTAGAGCCATTTTGTAAACTTAATTTTCGCACTGTGATACACAGTATTCTCGATAAATAAAAGATTAGAAAAAAGATTAGAAAGATTTTTTAATGCGGTATAATAGCAAAAATAACGTTAACAAAACTAATAAATAATAATGGCCTAGGACAGTTCCTTTTAAGTTGTTAAGTGTAAATTTAAAGATCAAACATGAAAAATAGGGCGAGTTTTTATGGATCATGCTTACTAATTAAGCAATAGTTTGTAAAACTTTATTGTTTTAAGTTTTTTTACAATTTACTAGTTATTTGTAAGTTTAACTAGTCAAGTGATGTCTGTGTTTTTACTAATTAAGCAATAGTTTGTAAAACTTTATTGTTTTAAGTTTTTTTACAATTTACTAGTTATTGTAAGTTTAACTAGTCAAGTGATGTCTGTGTTTTTAGATCTTACAATGGTTTCCTTTTATTAAGCGGTAAAGTAACCATGATTTAATTTCCTTGCACCTTTATAATTTACAATTATACACTTCACTTAAACGTTATTTTAACAGTAAGTACCAAAATTAGTTGATACAAATTTGCGACATTTTTTTTTCATTGTTTAGTAAGTAAATGTTTTAAATATAGTAAATATGATAATATGTCAACAAACTGATTGGACAATTGAAGAAAAAAATCGAATGTAGATTTATTTCTTAACTATGTGAAAGCATAATATGAACCTAAAATTAAAAGTGGTTGTACACATATAATTTTACTTACCGGACCAAGTAAAGAAAAAAGGTAAACATTCTTCTCATTAGAGCTCTTAATTCCAGGTATTTGTGTCTTAAGCTGTGTACAAACAGCCTTTGAAGTAAAATCTTTGTTAGTGCAATATACTTTGACTCCATCAAATAGAATGTCCTTCACTCTGACGGTTAAGTACATGGTAGTGGGATCATTAAAAATTGGCGGAATGGCTTTATTTACCACATTTAATAAGGCTGGGGAGTCCCTTTCAACGGTGTTTGCTATACCCTGAATAAAAGAAGATTATTATTGGATAATGTTATACAATGTCATGTTATGTGTTTACCTACATGCTTTATTATTTAGCTCCCATTGAAATTTAAATTTAATTTAGGGGATTTACATTTTAAATGGCTACATAGAAAATTTATAAAGAAAATCTTTTTTGGTAACTTGAATAATTAAAGTGGACTTACCAAAAATGTATATGCCACTTTTAAAGGTATGTATTCAAACGATAATAAAAATCACAGATTTCTTATTGTCATGTTAGGTTAATTTAAAACAGCCCATGTATTTAATTAATGCAATTTTTTTATCGTATGCACTTATGCCTGTAGAAGTACCATATACATTTTTCACCGCACAGTTTTGAAATAATACACGATAATGTTAACTGTGTCCAACCAAAATTATCAATCTGTCATTCTCATCTAGAAGATCCGGCAAGACTGGATAACGAACACGTGATTATCTAGGGATATTTTGTTTTATTTATTTGGTAACTTGGTAAAAGTTAATTTTTTTAAAAATAATTAGACAGTGCTTCTACCTTCTTCTCTTTGTTTTTAGATTTTAAATAATACTGCATATAGAAATGTCACTTACGCTGTCAAAAGGTAAAAGCCAAACCAACTATCAACAAATCGCAATGTTGTCGCGTTGTTCTATTTTTTACATTGTTTAACTTACGTTTTTTTATAGAAAAGAAAATACAAGTTAAAACAAATGTCAAAAAGAAGATACAGTCCGTTCAGGCTAAGTTGAGCGCTTTGGTGGGGAATCATGTGGCCGTTGATTAAATTAAATATCGAATCGTCGAGAGATTTTGGTAACAAGAAGATGATTTATCAGTGCCGCGGCTTGCCGTTTGTTAGTACATAGCGGCTACCAAAATACATGTATTTAAATGTGCCTGAACATAGAGATGATGGACGGGGTGACATTCCTTAGACCGCTCAACTTAGACTGAACGGACAGTATATGTGTAACATACCTTTTAAAAAAATTAAGTTTAAAAAAAATTAAAAAAAAAATTAAAATTAATCCTAAACATTTCACAATATTTAAGTTGACTTAACTTTATCTTCTGAATTATAGAATATTATTTTTTTTACTCCTATTACGGAATATCACCGTTCTAATATCACTTTTTAATGTGGAATTACATATATTTATTATTTTATCACTGGATGATGGAAATTATTAAATTGTATAGTAAGGTGGGATTGTATAAAAGGTGGGACACCATCAGGACCGGACTTTTTTAACCGTTTAGTTGCAATAACTCATTAAAATCATCACTCTCAAAAATAAAACAGTTAAATTTACAATATTAGTATACCCAGGTTCTTTAATATAAACTGAACTACATATATATATCGGCAAAAAAGTTTGCTATTTGATTAGGGTTGTTAGACAATTTATTGTTATAAAACATTATGCTTGGCATGTCATAAAATTACGGGTTAATAAAAGGGTTTTCGAGCAAAATACCATATTCTGAATAAGTGACGTCAATCTAATTTCAATATGGCAAATGTACCTAAGTTAATTTTAAGAATAAAAAGTTAAACAAGTAATTAAAGTAATTTTAAGTAATTTATACTTTTTAGTGCGTTAAAATGTTTTTTCCATACAAAATATCTTAGAGTTAGAGTTAGAGTTATAGCAAAAAGTTATTAAGAAAAGTTGTTTAGAATCAAAAGCATACCCCAGAGACCAACTTTTGTTTAAAAATTCGTATTTTGTATCCAAAAATTAGTCCCAAATTTCAATTTTTTTGTTTGTTTTTCTTTCAATAATTAAAAAAAAGCAAGATATGAAAAAAACGTGTAAATGTAAAAGAAATTAAAATATCTCATTATATAAAAATTTAGCACTTTGTATTCCAAATTACTAAACCTACTCTAAACTATCGGTGAAAGACTTTAATTTAAATCAAAACAATTGCCACTGAAATATTTATAATTAATACTAGTATTTTTTTTTTAATAATGGATAACATTTTGTATAAATAGGTTAAAATAAAATAAAACTTACAACTATTAAGGGATGCAATATTGTTACGTAATCAGTATCTCGTAAGCTTCCAGACTTTTCTTGATTAAAATGATAAATATCATACTGGGTATAAGATAAAGAATCTTCTGCATTGTTATCTTCAATTTCTATTTTTTCTTTCCACAAACTAAAAAATATCTTTATTCAGTAATGTGTTTCTTAAACTAATATAAAACATATTATCCAATAAAATGCAATATCGATTAAAATAATTTTTATAATTGTAATTAAATTTGATAATAAAAAAATTGGAGTTTTGCTGTATTTGATATTAGAGCCCTTAATTATAATATAAATTTATTTATAATTAAGTACCTAAATTACAAATTCATATTTATTTCATTTTTATTTTACAAAAAAATATAATGAAACTAAATAATTTTCTACTAATAATACTTATTAAAAATATAAATTACAAATTCATATTTATTTCATTTTTATTTTACAAAAAAATATAATGAAACTAAATAATTTTCTACTAATAATACTTATTAAAAATATAAAAATCAATAAATAAAATTATAATAATTAGTTATGCTTTAAATAATTCCCATTATTAACGTATTTTTGCTTTATATTAAGCTATTTTTTTATTAAATTCGTTTATATATTGATTTTTAATAAACATTAGTTTAATAAACATGACATTTAATTATTTATGCATAAAAATTGTATTATTAAAATAATTTGTTTAAATCATAACTTGTAGTTGGGCAAATGTCTAATTACTAATGTCTTATGTTTATGGCATTTAATATATAATATTTATTTTCGATTTTTAAATAATAATAGCCGTACCTATTTCTACAAATCAATCATCTAATCAAAAGTATTCTTTCTATTCGTCGTAGTATAAAATAATAACGTCCTGGTTTATGTTACTATTAAAAAAAAATTAAATGTATTTAATTTGCAACCAATTTTTTTTTAAGTAAATTTTATAGTTAAATAAAACTATAAAAGTACTGAATATCTGTAAGTACTGACAGAACAATATTTTTAAAATAACTTCGGAATTAAATATAAACGGGCTCACAAAACAAAATTTTCTTTTTGCGACAGGGTATCCAACAATTTTTCTAAAGTAATTTTGGCGCGTTAAAAATGACCATTATTTTGCTTAATCAGCTTTAGTGTTTATTTCGATATGCAAACATTCAAACTCGTATGTATGTGTTTGGGTGGCCCACAATAATTATTAAAGAATAAAAAAACATTGCCTGAAGTTATAAATTGTATAAACCAATAATGTAATAATAATTATATCTAAGACATCTGTTCCAACTAACTGGCTTTTCCAAAAGCCAATTTAAAGTTTTTTAACAGTACGAAAAATTCTATGAGCACGACTTTCTCGTGGATTAGATTGTCTTCGAGTAGTTTAATTTCACCACTTTTCCAGTTACAAACAGACGTGAGAAGCAGTTATGACTATTTAATTTGGCAGCGTTAACACCAATAAAATGTTAAATTAAAATAATTTGCGCTAATGTTGGGTTAATTAAATTATGGAATATTGTTTTGAGTGCGTTCCACTTACTTCAAATACCTACCGACAGACAGCTGATTCGACCTATATTGGGGGTCTTATCAGTCACTGATAATCAATGTCGGGCAATTTGATGTAGTGGAAGTTCCACTGTGGAACACACCGAAAACAAACGGCTACTTGAGCTTATATACTCGTATCGTAAAACAACTGAGGCGAGATGTAAGAACATCACGTGATCAACACCGTCTAATGACGTGGCGTGGGTGTTCGAAGCGCCCTTCACGGCAATTTTATGAATGCAAAATTAAAATTAAAATTTTAAAGTTACAGTTACAATTTGTTAAATGAACAAATTAAATGTTTTGGATTTAAAGAGCAACTAAACGTTAATTTAATAGTTTTTTTAGGTAATCCTAAAAATTTCAGTATTTGATTCAACCAATTCCATCTATTAAATCAAAAAAGGATAAACATTTTAATTAAGAAAATAAGTTTATGATAAATCAATATTTTAACTGTCAAATAAACAAATAAACTTTGACAAACTCTGACTATTGCTTTGACACCAAAATATAGATTAATCCAATAGGTTTTTTGATGAAACATTTTCAAAAATGACATTTAGGCAAACTTTAACTCAACTACATTATTTTTTTCGGTGTACGCAGCGATTTATGTGAGAAAACTTTTTAAACAGTATGAGCGATATTTAGCTCTAAAGAAGCACTGTATTCGTCAAAGCGAAATAATACTTTGCATGAGGATATGTATTAATGTTGTGTGAAAATGTATTTTTTTACAACCGAGAGAAAAGTACAAATTAGCGCTTCCAAAAGAAAGCCCAAAGTTGCACTTTTCGCTCGCTTAGTTACCATGGAAACCATAATAAAGAAACGTTTAGTGTATTTGCGACTTTTGACACAAACGTGAAGTTGAAGTTATCAATAATTAATGATTTTTACCAAACATGCGGTAGAAAAAATCCTGTGTGTAATTCGAGCGCAAAGTGACATTGCATGTAGGTATGTGTTAATTTGTTTGTTTCGGAAATTGATTTATACATCAACATTTCTTATCAAAATTATTTTCAATTAAGTTCCCAATTTTTAACAAATACTTTTGTTAATGGGTCTACAAAAAGGTTTGTAAACATAAGGTCCTTTTTGAAAATTACAAGAATTATGGTTGAATTATTGATACAGGATTTTGCTATAAAATCAACAAAATGTTTGTTATAATTACAAACTTCTTATTCAATTATTTAACAGATTATAACATAAAGTTATTTTGAAACACAATTATTAGAAAAAGTTCAAAAAATTTTATAATGAATTATGAAGACAGTTGAACGTATATATATGGAACGCCGTTTTACTATTTATTACTAGTTGGTACCAATGTATCATTTAAATTATTGTTAATTTTTTTATAGGTTTGATAATGGAAATTAAAGGTATTTTCGTTAATGGACATTGAATTTTTATTTTAAGTTATAATAATAACTATAAATAAATTTATATACAAATAAAGTTTAATTAACATATTTGTTATTTGAATTTACATGTTTTCTGAATTTAAATGATACATACATTTCTGTATTTCAGAAGGGTTATAGAAACAATTTCAATGTTGTACCAATTAATTAAAAATTTCAAATATTGAAAATACACATACATTCTTATTTAAAATGAAAATGATATTTAAATTATTATTTAACATCAAAATTGAAACAATTTCCTTGATACTTTAATTTATATTATACTTTAATTTCCATTATACTTTAAATTTCATGATATTTTAATTTCGAATATACTTTAATTTACATGTCACTTGAATTTCCATTATACTTTTAATTTTTATTATCGTAGCCATCTATTGAGGAAAAGCAGAAGCTTATACAGATGATACTTTAATTTCGATTATACTTTAATTCACATGACACTTGAATTTCCATTATACTTTCAATTTTTATTATCGTAGCCATCTATTGTACAAAAGCAGAAGTTAATTTAGATGATACTTTAATTTCGGTTATACTTTAATTTACATGACACTTGAATTTCCATTATACTTTTAATTTTTATTATCATAGCCATCTATTATGGAACGCCGTTTTACTATTTATTACTAGTTGGTACCAATGTATCATTTAAATTCAAGTGTCATGTGAATTAAAGTATAACCGAAATTAAAGTATCATCTAAATTAACTTCTGCTTTTGTTCAATAGATGGCTACGATAATAAAAATTTAAAGTATAATGGAAATTCAAGTGTCACGTGAATTAAAGTATAATCGAAATTAAAGTATCATCTGTATTAGCTTCTGCTTTTCCTCAATAGATGGCTACGATAATAAAAATTAAAAGTATAATGGAAATTCAAGTGTCATGTAAATTAAAGTATAATCGAAATTAAAATATCATGAAATTTAAAGTATAATAAATTAAAGTATAATAGAAATTAAATTATCAAGGAAATTGTTTCAATTTTGTTGTTAAATAATAAGTTAAATATCATTTTCATTTTAAATAAGAATGGATATGTATTTTCAATATTTGAAATATTTAATTAATTGGTACAACATTGAAATTGTTTCTATAACCCTTATGAAATACAAAAATTTACGTGTAATTTAAATCCAGAAAACATGTAAATTCAAATAACAAATAAATTAAAGTACAAAAATATTATATTTACCTACCCAACGATCAATTTCTTTGAATGAATTTGGTATTTTGATTCTAAATAAACATAGAAATTAGAAACATACACCATCAAATATAAATAAAATTATTACAAAAGAAATAAAATAAAAATAATTCTTCCATAAAAATATACATTTTAAATACTTGATTTCGGAGTTACATTAAAACTGAAATTCAATTTTAGCTATGAAACAATCATTGAAATTGGTTACTTTTTTTTAAATAAAATTTTAATTCCAACGCCGTTTTACTATTTATTGTACATTGATACCAACATGTCATTAAAATACCTTTAATTTCCATTATCAAACCTATAAAAAAATTAACAATAATTTAAATGATACATTGGTACCAACTAGTAATAAATAGTAAAACGGCGTTCCATATATATATATACAAGAATTTGACGATATAAATAAGGTATAAATAAGTTGTACCTGATCACTTTTAGTGTTATTGCGTTAGCAGTTATTAAAATGTATTATCTATCTCTTTCATTCTTACTGTTTTGCGTGTCTCTTTTTAATTTTTACCAATTGAAAGTAGCGCTGTTATATGTTTTGACATTTGTACCACCTCAGTGTCAAATAAAAAAATCGATCAAGGTGATAAAAAAAATTAGTCAGCAAGAGTGTTTATAGGAATAGGTCCGTTCAAAGTTATAAGGAATTACATTATGGTAAATCAGGAAAAAATACATTATTCCAGTAACTTGGCAAACAGATAAAAATACATGTGTTCGAGAGGAAAATTTTCAAGATTTCTTCAGAGAACGAAGAGGTATTTTTGAGTATAAAATTTGCTCTGGAAACAAGTCACTCAGTTGCACAATTGTTTGATTATTTCCAATTGTAATCATAGCATTTTAACGTTGCCACGTTTACTTTGACTGTTTATAAAACAAAAAACTGTATAGAGAAAGTTGTTTAAATTTTTATCGGTATTGTTAATAGTAACGGGCCTGTATATGCAAAATTTAACGTTAATAATAATTCTGCACCAACTACGTATATACCAAATTAGATCTTTTGGCAAAACAAAAATGCAACGATTTAGTTCTTGAATTACATTTACAATGAAAAACACAATAATTCACCATGATCCCTTAGATAAAATACACACTAACGTAACTATATAAGCATTGAAGTTCTTAATCAATATTAGTTGTTTAAATTTTACTTGCAACGCGAAACACAAATAACGTGCGCGATTTAGTTGTGCCAATGAAACTTTGCAAACAAAATTTGTTGAGTAAGACTTCTGCCTTTCTCTCTTTTGTGAAAAAACTACTTATTTATTTAAATATTATATGCAGTTCGTATGCTTTAAATGTATTGTTATTTTTAAATTCCAATGCTATCATGCGCCAGCAGATGGCGCGCGCGTTGTAAAAACCCGATGCTTTTTAGCGTATTTACGGTGCGATATGTATTAATATATATTAATACCATAAACGTTATGGCAATACTAATAAAATATGTAGTTATGGTTATAGCACATAACGATTTCTTATAAACCTTAATTTTAGGTTTTGGTAGGTATGGAATAGGTGTAGATTCATATGCATAATATATTATGTCACCTATACAACTTTCCATAAATAGATGAAACATACATATTATTATATAAGCTATATTTAAAATAATAGTCATAAATCTATGTACTATTTTCTAATCGAACTTAAATAATTATACCCCAGTATATATGACATGTTGTATTAAATGTTAATGAAATAATAATAACTAATAATTTACATTTAATTTTATTATCCTGTTTATTCTTAGGTCGTGAATTAACTTAGAACAGCTACATATAAAATAAAGTTAATTTTAAATAAAAAATATTACCCGAATTTAAAAGAAATTGTAGGTTTTGCAACTCTGGTAATTAAAAGTTTGTCATATGAAATATTAATCTTTTTATACATAAACTTTTTAATTATATGATGAAGTTTTAAAACTTACTCATAGCAGTATGGTCCAACTTCCTTTAACATAGGTTTCGCTCCTTTCATAACGTCGGCCGGATTACTTATGTTAAAAAAATTTACTCTAAAGTCCAATGGAAAAGGTAATTTTGTGTAGACATCTCTTACTTCATTTCTTTTTCGCAAAGCTGTTTGCTATAAATAATTTTTATAAGTATGGATTTATAACACAATATGTTATTTTTAGCAATTTAATTCCATTTAAATATTGAATCATAATGTATACTATGTATTTAGGTATTGGAGAAATGGCAATTTTATTTTATTTCATAATAGTTTATTTAAGTAAAAACCCGATTCATTTTCGATACGACGTTATATCAAATACTTTAAAAGTTTATCATATCATTATATTATAAATTTGAAATATACATTTTATATTGGTTCGACGATTAACTACGATACACAAACAACGGTATGCTGTTGCTTATGTTATGTGACGTCATGTGAAAACCAAAATCAAGTTATTTTTCTAAATGTTTTATTAAGTTGACGTTTTACTTAAAGTTTAAACCTTTAACAAAGAAGCCTTGTAAATATATTAAATAAATTTAAACCTTAGTTATTAACTGGTCAACAAAAGCAGCAAAAACTTTTCGAAAAAAGAGGTAAAACACCCGTTTTTGGCTTATTTCTCTAAAATAGTTGATGGACACAGACAAATTTTTGGCCGGACTTGCTGCGTCACTTACACAGGCTTGTCATAAATCAGCTAGAAAATTGCGACTGCTATAGCCGTCGTGTCATATTGGGCCCGACGGCATTTGCAGTTCTGTCCATGAACGTGTTAACACATATACAATAATTAAAAAAATCCCACATTTTTAGAATAAAGCAACATTTGTAGAATAAACCTACATTTGTAGTATATAAAATTGTATAACAAAGCTACTATTGTAGAATAAAGCTACAATTGTAGAATGAAGCTACAGTTGTAGAATGTAGCTACAATTTTAAACATTATTATAAATGTTAGTAAAATAAAGACATTTTTGTATTATTAGTACGTCTTGAGACATCATAAGATGCAGACGCATAAGCGACCACTTCTAAAAAGTAAGGAAGTAATAAAAGCCTATCTGTAACAATAATTCGGTCACAGAATAGTTAAGTTAAGGCAATTTTAACTCTACAGTGCGCAATTAGAGCCCAGGGCCACTACCAGCGCATGTAAATCAAGGTACCTGTCTCCCGATGTCTTACAGAATCAGAAAAGTGCTAATACAGTAGTGCAGTACAACAAGTGAAGAATGTAAGAAATCAGTTACACTACCTTACATGTGAACTCAATGTACCAGTCTCCCAAAGGAATCAAGTAGACAGTGGCAAGTTGCAACAAAAGATAAGTTCAGTAGCTTTAATCCTTATGATTTAATTTGCAATCTCTACTAAGAAAGTAATCTTGCATTTTCTCGAAGAGGTTAAGCTTCTGTAACGCATCTAAACTAGGAAAACAAAACAGCCAAACAAGAAAAAAAAATTCCACAGGACAGCAAACGTAATTATTCGTATAAATCGGTACAAAACCAAAACTAATCAAACAGCCATGATACGCAATAGACTTTAACATAATATAAACAAAAAGTCAAGTGCAGTCACCTAGTCATCCACAATAAACATGTCAACACACCACTGAAATAAAGCTAAGGGTTACGCACAGTGGAACAAATAATATGTATCTACTAACTTACCTTTTTGATAATTTTATCATAATTCGTTATAAAGAAGAAAAAAACTACTAAAACGACTAAAGAAACGGTTTCGCACAGTGGGGCAAACAATTGTTAATTGCAGTTCCCGAACTTTCAGCACACAAACGCAAACGAACAGATAGTATTTCAAGACCATTAAGGATAGGTCCAAGCATCGAACTAACCACCAAAACTCCATTTATGAAACCCAATTGAATGGGAAAATTACTAAATCCCTGATTTAGAGGGATTCCGGATTGAACTTAGCTAAAAACCAAAAGGTTTTCTTTCCTTGTCCCGCACTCCACTAGCCTAAATCGGGCGTATGGCCCTGCCCGGCGACAATATTCCGGTAGGGGCCTTAACCATCGAAACTGTCAAGACCTCCTATGCAGTTGCGGGATACGTATGAGAACTGAAAGTTGGTAAAAAACAACGCTGGGAGATCAGTGTAAGGCGATGCCGATGGACCAGCCATACATTCTTATAATTTACTCAATGAAGACATTTTTGTATTATATTTATTTATATTATTAAACAAAAACATTTGTTTACAAATAACAGTGTTATTTATTGTTTACATCGATCCTTCTAATTAAAACAACATTTTTGTTTAAATATTTAAATGAGCCTTAATTGTATGGTGTTTTAATTTTACAGTGGGAAGCAACTGCCCCAATGCTTTCGCTGAAATTTTATATTTTACTAAATTAAACAATAATGTTTGAAATATTCAAAAAAATATTTTTTTAATAAAATGAACTTTTATTTAGATTAAAACTAAGCCTTCTGGGATGAATTGTTCAAATTGAAATTATAACTTTATTATACTTTATTTTTGATAACGGAACAATTATTTCTTTAATGAAATCCTAAAAGAGGAGGTTTAAAGTTATTATTTATCATCAAAAAATATATATTCTTAAACGTTATATAAAATGCAATTTCATTTTATATTAAATTTAAGAACATCGAAGCACTAAAACTGCTAAACTGCAGATTTAAATGCTGGTATTAAAAATGCATAAATTTACCAAAAGCTTTTAAAATTAAAATGTATGTAAATCATAATGCTGAATACGCGAAAACCCATAAAAAATTCTACTAAATCCAAACAATATTGACAATCATAAACGAAAACTGCATTATTATTATGAGATATTTGAATGTTATAATTTTTTTTACTTGAACGGGAATAAAATTACTAATTTTGAGAGTAAAGAAAGTCAAACAATTAGTTTTTTTATTTTGCTAGGTAGGTACAGTAAAACTAAAGTAATGCAATTTTTCATTTTATTAAACTTTTTTAGAAATTTGTAACTGGTCAGTAACTAGTTGGTAACTATTCTGTAATTAGGTAGTAATTAATCAGTTACTGGCGAAATTTGTATAAATTTGTAACAGTAAATAAAATATGTAAATCAATGATTGTAACAACACAACTCCAATCATAACTTTAAAACTCGATTCCTATAATCTCCTTCAGAAGTTTTACTTTAATAGTGTACTTACACGTGTGTTTACACGTGTCAATTAATAATTTAAAAGCAGTTTTTGGTAATTTTAAACAGTTTTAATTTAGCTTATGTTATTTTAGATTGTTTTAAAACATTTTTTAATCATTTTGGTCCATAAAAGATTTGGTTTTACATTTAACATTGTTACACAGTTTGTAACATTTTAGATAGTTTTGGGGTATTTCAGAATAAAATTCTAACCTCAAAATTGTATTATTTTGGATGATTTTAGATACCCATTCTTAGGACATTTTTCAAAAGTTTAGTTTTATTTTAAAAGTTTGGATTATTTAGACAGTTTAAAATTTTTCGGACATTTTAAACGTTTTTATTAGGCATGGTTAAAGTGTACCTTTTACTATTTTTTTAACTGTACAGATAAATACTACAAAGAACTTTTTAGAGAAATTAGGTAAACTTTTGTGCTAATAATTGTGATAAACCTCTAATTAATTGTTAATCATAAAATATTCTTTTAGGTTAAAAGTATAACTTTTTTATATAAAATATTATTTTTGTTATAATTAAAGTTAGAAATATTTTGTTTCTTTTTTGTGATATGTATTTTGTATGGCACCAGTTTTTAAAACTAAATTTGGGGTCAATAATAAATAAAGACTTATTATTATTAATATTGTTTAAAATAATAATAATAATAATAATAATAATAATAATAATAATAATAATAATAATAATCTGCTCTCTGGGAATTGTTTCAACGTTAGGTATATTATTGACCAATAACTGGTATGCAAAATGTATGTAAGGCCGTAAACAAAACATTAATAAATTATATAATATTTTCCTCCCATGTTGTTCAAAAATAAAACTACTTACATCTCTAACTCCAAATTTCAAAACTTTATCGAACCCATAATACCCAAAACCAACACAAAAGCAGAACAAAGCCCCCCCTCCAAAAGCTATTTTCTTAGGATCGAGCTTCATTATGTCAAACTGCACTTGACATTCAATGCCACTTGAAAGTCCGGGGTAAAAATGAAGTTCAAATACAACAAATGCTTACTACATCTGATTAAACTGGAGGGGATAAACTTTACTTGGATGCTTTCGCCGTCAAGGTCAATTTCAGCTGTCATTAATTATGGTATTATTAGTGCTAATTTAATAGAGACTTAATATTTGGTTTTGCTTTTGTAAAAAGGTTAAGGTTAAATAGCGTACTCATCGATAAAAGCGCTTTACTCATAATGGGGTAGTTTATTAATTTATTTATCATTAAACTATCAGCAAGCAAGGTTAAGCTTTAATGGGTTTAGCCTTATTTATTTTTTTACTAATAAATTAGCATATTGGAGCGAAATTTTGTTTAAATCTCGATTCTGACACTTAAACTATAAATTAACTTAAGTTTTGCTATTTGCTACAAATACTTAAAATATAAAAGTTCTATATTTACACATTAAATTTTTTAATTAAAAAATTAATATTTTGTGAATATATAATTTTGGTTTGAACTGCAGTTTAAATATGACAGGAAAAACATTAGAAAAAACGTTTCTATTCGTTCACACTTAGTTTTAAATAAAGATCTAAATGTAGCTGTAAATTAAATATTTTTACAAGGAAACTTATATAAATAATATTTATAAATATATTTATTAAATATTAGCTAACCTCGTATTTATTTCCAGAATTAATTTAAAGGGTTTGTATTTGAATGTTTAATTAACAAGGTTTTGATTATTGGTGATGGCCCGTAAATTACAGAAGCTCTCTTAATGATATATTAATTATTAAGTGTGGACGAGCAGTTTAAATATTAATGCAGATATTAGGTATGAATATGAAGTGGAAGTGAAAGTTCAGTCAATCTGTCGAAAAAAGGCTATAAGAAAAAATGACAAGTAATTAATGAAAATAAAGGGAGACAAAATCACATAAAAACAAAATTTAATTTAATGAATTAAAACAATCTGGTAAATAATAAGGAACAAGTTGCTAATATTTTCGGTGAGTATTTTTCAAATGTAGCAGATAATGCATTACTTCCCCTATAAATACCATATATGGTATTAACTCTGAAACAGATTGTACTGTTTGTGATAATTTTACCCAGACCATGGCATATTTTCCTTTAAATCAAAGTAAACTATAAAAAATTATACAAAATCTTTCAAATAAAAAAATATGGTAGGTATTGATAACATTTTAATAAAACGAATAAAAACAATACTATTACCTCTGACTGATTAATTCTTCTATCAATAAAGGCATATAATGGAATTGACTCAAGATCTTCATAATTTTAGACATTATTTTCGGATTCAGGGGACAATTTTACATAAGAATTGGCTGTTAAATTTTGGGATACCAAACCATGGTACAAGTGAAAAAACAGCCACTAATAACTGTAGTAATTAGTCATTTTTGACTAATTCATTTTTAGAGACTACGTAAACCATTAATAAAAAATATAACTTATGTTTACAGGGACTGTAATTTATTTCTTCATTTGGATTAAGCTAGTGAAGTGCGGGGCAAGAAGTAAAAATATTTTGATTTTTGGGTTCATAACCGATTTTTGGGTTCATAACCGAAATCCTGAATTTCTGAAACTATTTTTTTGTATCGATGAGGCGTGCTTTCCAAAACATTGTATAATAAATCTACATAACCTTCATTACTGCCCATGGGCAAATCCACACGTCATAAGACAGACTCATTAGCAAGATAAATTTTCAATTGATTGCTGGGCTGGAATCGTCGGAGATTTCATCATCTGTCCAAATTTCTTGCCCCCTCGATTAAATGCTGAAACCTACCTTCATCTTTTGGAACATGAACTACCAATTTTTATGGAAGATGTTTTCCTCGATATTAGACAAAATTTATGTTTTATGCACGGTGGTTCCCCACCACACCGGGAGCGGTTCGTAACTGAGTGGCTGAATGAAAATTTTTCAGGACGTTGGATCGGTAACAATTCCCCCAATTTAGCTTGGCCACCCCGTCGTCCAGGTTTAAAAGCTATGGACTTTTGTTTCTGGGGAGCCATGAAGTATCGCGTCTATGCTGTACCATTTAGAACTCGCGAACAATTACAAGAACGAATCCTTGCCGCGGCTGAAGAAATTAGACAGATACCCAACATTTATGAGAAAGTACGTCAACATTTTTCAAAACCTTTGCGGTCCTGGGCTAAAGAAAAAGGTTCACACTGAGGACGTTTTACGAAATTGATTAAATTTAATTTTAATAACCGAACTTCACAAAACAATTGGGTAATGTAATAAAATGGTTTTTATGTTTATTATTCTTAACGTCTTCCTGCATTGGGCCTTCTTACAGAACCCGTCTCCATAAGTTGCACACGCGAAAACATCGAATGGTATTTCCATGGGCCTCTCCGTAAATCAGGTGCATTTGGACTTTAAGTCGCACGGAAAATTTCACCACTTTTTTCGAGAGAAACAGAAAAGATGATAATCTGACAACTGATCAATGCTTACTGTTAAAAAATTAATTTGTTTGTCACTTGCGAACGCCAGCCACCTACGACTAACCAGTAAGAATTTCATACAAATGTCGATATGCATTCGATCACATTTTGCCATTTTTATCGAAAACATTACGTTTTACAAAAAAATTTCAAGAGACAAAAGTTTCTAAATTGAATGTAATTCCTTACGGGTTAATATTTAAAAAAAAAATACGCAACCACAGTTTTGTGGCTCCAAAGACAAGGGGGCGTACGAAAAAGCGTCCCAAGGGGGTCCCCAGCCAAAAACTATTAAATAAAATTAGGAAATATTGACCAAAAGCAAAGTTATTAAAATTTCAGAAAATATTACAAAATAGACAAAAATCAACACGACATACATAAAGAAGGTGGTTACAATAGTTCTTAAAACTTTTAATATAACTCTACATATTTTTAAACTTAAAGAAAATGTGGCGTACTTATTTCCTAAGTGTCCTTTGATATTATTTCTTTTGTCTTAAACATTTTCCTATTCAAACACTCGTATTTTAAACTCAAAGGATAAATTCAGCTTGCTCGACTTGGAATCTTAAAAAAGCCATGTATGCATATTCCTTTGAAAGGATAACATCAGATGTTCATTTTTTTTATAGATTAAAAAAGATTTTATTACAGTGTTTACCAAATTAAATTAAAAAAAAATTAAATTAAAAAATAAAAAAGTCGTTGATTTAAGGGCTTTCTTAGCAACTAAGTTAGTGAATCGGCCTGAATATTGCAGATACGGGGGTTTAGCTTAGCACGGCAGAACTTTACATAAGAATTGGCTATGGTTAACCGTGGTATAAGTGAAAAATCAGCCTCTAATAACTGAAGTAAGTAGTCATTTTTGGCTAATTCATTTTTAGAGATTACCTACACATATAACTTATAGATATGTAATTATGTACCAACTTTCAGGCCTTATGACACAAACGCCGGTTTTAGTACACAATAACACCCTATAATTCCATTATTTTTGTAAATTTTCGACACAAAGCCTTTCATCATTTTTGTAGTTCTTATATATATAGCTATAGCTTTTATTTTTGTGGAAATTTATATAAATAATTTTTTTTTTAATAAAGATTTTTTTTAAATACAATTGCCATTTATTTAGTACCTTACCACGCTGTTGGGAAAATCTAATTATAAGGGTAAGTGCAATCAATATTACTTACCTTACTATTATATCCTGTTTTAAAAACTATTCTCTAAAGTAGCCGAAATAATAAACTAAGCGTACCATATACCAATATGTAGTCGTAAGTTTTAAGAGAGTGTAGTGGTAAAAGGTTTTTAATAAAATGGTTAAACAACATGTAGTAGTAAAATTTAATTAGAGCAGTAGTGGTAACGATCACTTTGCTGCATTGTCAATTCGTAACAATTATTACCATTCTGTAATGGTAGCAACAAAGGTTCTACTGGTTGGCGCCTATTTAACCATAACTATGGGTTCCGCTGACCGCTTATTTTTTTTTTAGTGTAGGTATGCAACCCGTATTATAAATTTCTCCAGACAAGCTTCGTTAGTGCTTAATTAAAACTTGTTAAATATTATACTATAATTTAGTTTTAAACAAGTTTAACCCATTGCTCCAATTTCATTATATATATATTCTTTAATCAATTGAACTTATTCCAATGTAAACAATTGCACAAATATTAATATTAAAATCAATAATCCTTAAATATTAGGAAAAAGTGAACGGACAGGCAGGCCCAACGAAAATGTTGTTTCATAAAAAAATTAATTAAAATTAATCTATATTTGGTGTCAAAGCAATAGTCAGAGTTTGTCAAAGTTTATTTGTTCATTTGACAGTGAAAATAATTATTTAACATAAACTAATTATAATCCTATTTTGATTTATTAGCTGGAATTGGTTGAATCAAATACTAAAATTTTTAGGATTACCTAAAAAACTATTAAATTAACGTTTAGTTGCTCTTTAAATCCAAAACATTAAATTTTTTCATTTAACAAATTGTAAATGTTGCTTTAAAATTTGTTAATTTTGCATTCATAAAATTGCCGTGAAGGGCGCTTCGAACACCCACGCCACGTCATTAGACGGTGTTGATAACGTGATGTTCTTACATCTCGCCTTAGTTGGCTTACGATAGGAGTATATTTCTTTTATTTTTTTTTTTATTATTATTTTTAATGTGCTTTCAACAGGCACCAGGCCCAATTACAGAAATACACAATGACAAACACAAATAAACAACCATACCCCTGGTGGGATTCGAACCCACGACCTCTCGGCTTGTAGTCCGCAGTGCTAACTACTACACCACCGAGGGTAGCCGTTTGTTTTAGGTATGTTCCACAGTGGAACTTTCACTACACCAAATTGCCTGACACTGATAAAACCCCAAATAGTCGAATCAGCTGTCTGTCGGTAGGTATTTGAAGTAGATGGAACGCATTCAAAACAAAAACTCTGGCGAGGGAGGTTCAATTCTTTCTCTTTATATTATTTCCATAATTTAATTAACCCAACATTACCGCAAATTATTTTAATTTAATATTTTATTGGTGTTAATTGAATATGCTAAAAAGGATACCTGGACATTTCAACATCTTAAAATTGTAAGCACAAACATTTTCGTTATATTACGCCGACATATCAAGAATATTTAATTAACTAGATTAGCAGATTAGAACAAATATTCTCATTTTGTTCATTTGACTAATATTTCGTCACCCTAATATAACAAGGTTGTATGTTTAAAAAAACGAAAAATTTAAGTCTATTTTTCTACAGGATTATACGTGGCCTACGCTTCACATGCCACTTAAAAATAATTCTATAGAATGTATATTCTATGTATACATATATATAGAGTTATTTTCAAGTTGTATGTCAAGGGTGGATTACATAAAATCTTGTAGAAGCACAAACTCAAATTTTTCGGGTTTTTAACATACAACCTTGTTATATTAGGGTGACGATTTGTTGTTCAATTAAACAATACAATTTGACATTTTTAGATGGTTAAGTAAACATGCAAAAACCATTGCTTGTATTTAAAGTGCATAAAGAGTTGAATTAATATTTTTTTTGTTGTTTCAACAGCTTATTTTTTTCAGTGGACTATTCCCCTGTGCCGTCACAAATAAAAAATATATATTATATAAACATAAAATGGACTTCCTGGACCCCGATTTTTACTTTACAGCTCTGCACACAGGTAATCAAATTATCTTTTAATCCCTCGGAGAGTTGCTATATTCGCCAAGCTTATGATAAAACATGTTTAACTTACATCAAAACAATTTTAAAACCTTAATTTTAGGTGTCTCATTATTAAACAAACCTTTTACTTTAAATCGTTTTTTCTTATTCAACAGTTTCGGACGAATTTTTTTCACATCACATACAGTGGCGTAACAAATTCTGAGTGGGCCCCCCTGCAAACGATTTTAATGGGCCCTCTTTACAATAATTAAAAATTTATTAAATAGGTAATTTTTAAAATAGTTTATCATAGTACTTTTAAACCTACATTATATACATAATATTTTTTAAATTAAAATTTTTGACAGGTAGGTATAGCGTGTATACGATACACAGGCATACGATAAGCAAATAAAAAAGGATTAGGTAAGAAAAATTGCTGTATCTGCAATTTTTGGTAGTAAAACATAAAATATTTAATTAATTTTGGTTTAAAAATATCTTATTCTAAATATATACCTTTTTATATGCAGGATCATTTTCGTAATTCTATAATATATAATATCTTATTAAGATTCTTTTAAAAAAATATTTAAATAATAATTACCTAAACATTTTCTGTTCTTATTACCAAATTTTGCCTTTCTTAGAACGGCAGTATTATACTATTACATCAGCAATAATAACAATTTAAAAATAATAATAATTTAAAAAATGTTTACCTACATATTAGGGTGAGCCAAAAAAACTAACCTATCGGATTTATGGGTTAAAATGAACCTACATACCAAGCAAAAAATTTCCCTGCAAGGCAAAATTTTTTGCTCAATTTTAAAAGGTGTCGGTGAGCATTTTAAGTTTTCCATTGAAACTGCAGTTTTAGTGATTTTTTACACTTTTCAAAGCTTTCAAACATACGAATTTTTGAATTAAAAAAAATAATCCTGGTATAGATTTTTTGGGAAATTTTATGCTCTACAAGAATCCGCAACATAAAAAATTTTATCTCAAACGGTTTAAAAGTTAAAGTCTTTTTAATAAAAAAAGATTTTTTTACGTGTTATTTCAATGGAAAACTTAGAATGCTCACCGACACCTTTTAAAATTGAGCAAAAAATTTTGCCTTGCAGGGAAATTTTTTGCTCGGTATGTAGGTTCATTTTAACCCATAAATCCGATAGGTTAGTTTTTTTGGCTCACCCTACTACATATCTACATACCAAGTTTAAACAGTCTTGAAAAAAAATTAAAAACATATTGTAGACAGTCTTAAAGAAGTTAAATTAAAAAAAAATTAAAAACAAACACAAAATGCGATTGTCTAAGTATTTATAGATTTACTACAAAAAACGGTCTGATCTTCTAGAGTTTTTTTTGCAAATTCCGTTATAATATTGTCAATGTTTAATGTCTTAATAAACTCATGTTCAATACTAATAATTGATAAATTACAAAGACGTTGTTTTCCCATAGTGTTACGAAGATATGTTTTCACTATTTTTAGTTTCGAAAAAGAACGCCTTGGGCCCCCTGACCGTCTGGGCCCCCCCGCGGTGCGGGGTCTGCGGGGGTGCTTATTACGCCACTGATCACATATTATAAATTATAATTATTGATATAGTTTAATTAATTGAATAAATAAGGATTTAAAACCAAAATAACAAATAATTTTTTATTAAACATTTAAAAATTGTATTTCAGACTTCTAGTTAGGTCCTGACATTTAAATAACAACACTATTTTTTAAAATAAAAATATAGGTACTATCAGTATAATAAATTCTAAAATAAACTCCTAAGATCTAGTTATATATAAATTAAACTAAAGAACTAATTAAATTGGCTATCCCAAAAATTATTTTTTTTTAAAATGTCTAAATAAAAAATATATAACATAGGGCCGGTTTATCAATGTCCAGTTAAAGTTGCAGTTAGTTACCTGGTAGATTCCATAGGTACCATTCTCACAACGATTAATTAGGAATTTAACTGTCAGATGGACTAACTGGAACTTAACCAGAGATTTTTAAACCGGCCCTAAGGAGGGGAAAAAAGTCAAAATTACATTTAAATACTATGAATTAAACATAATTAATTAATATCTAGTTATATCAAATAAATTCATCAAGTCTTAAAATCAAACTTGCCAAATAATCACGAAATAGTTTCTAAATACTTGTGAGACATTTGCTGGCTCTGACTAATCCCTGACTCTTGGTTAAAACAAATCTGTTGCATTTGGCCATCGTGTACTAATAAATTACAATGGTCATTAGATAGCAGGATATACTACAAACTATGCAGGATACTTAGGATATTCAGGTGATTAATTTGTCGTTTCCTATTCAATGTTCTTTTTATTAATACTCTAATGTGCATCAATTCTAAATGCGGCCACTTGGCCGGTATTTTTTATGGACACAAGAGAAAAAAATAAAGGTTTAAATAAACATTATTTGCAAACAGAAACATAGCCTTAGGAAATTGGGTGAGGACTTTTGCGACAGCTTGTATATTGGGGTGGGGAAAAGAGATAAATAAATAATTTGTCAGATGCAAATAAAAGTCACTAGTCAACATGAATTTTGGGTCTGAGTTACGATAGGTTTATCGACATTATTATTATATTTGTTTGATTTTTTATTTGATAATAAGTTTGCTTTTTAAACCAAGAGAACGTTTTGTTAAACTTTACGAAAAAAAAAAGTAGCCAATAAGTTCATAGAGTGCTTTTTTTCCTTAAACAGGTACAGGTGTTGTGATAGGATAAACGGGTGCGATTTGGCATGCTTAAAATATACAAGAAGTTTAAAATAAACCATATTACTATTTTTGTTATGTACTCTCTCTTATTAAATTCCAAAAATAGTATTATTAGCATATTAAGTTTAATTAAGTTTAATTAATTTTAGTAAAAGAAATACAATAAGATACCTTAAATAACAAATAAACTTTTTCTTAATTAAGTTTTTTATACCCTTATACAACTACTATCTTTTAATGCTTTATAAGATTTTTTTTTAACATTTTAACAACAGCCATATTGAATGTATATTGAAAATATTTATTTTATAAAAAAATATTTTTGTATAAAATTATGTTTCATTATTTTTTATTAACACTACTACTTACATAATTAGTTAAACAATTGACTAACTTTGGTATTAATCTACTGTTTAATAAGTGTTTGTATAAAATACATATCTACATTTTATACATATTCTTCGATAGTTACCAATTTGGATATATGTATACTTTTTTTAATAAACAGTAAAATCAAGTTAAATAACAATATTTATAAGTCTTAAAACAAACTTAATATTTATCAGGATCTCCATTCGTCATGTTTGGATTTACGTGTCCTTCATCATTCATCCCATAGTTCATGTTCATGTGTATCATATTTTTAACGTTGTCTGGTGTATCAGATTTTTCGACAGGAGTTACGTTGGCCGATCCAGATTTGCTAAAGTAAACGTATGCTGCCCCAGCCATCAGTACAACACTTACCACCATTACCAACCATGTACCGATTTTGACAATCTTTTTTATTTTGAAGAGGTCCTTTAGTGGTTTGGTGAAGGTGTTGTTAAGCTCAACGCCCTAAACAAAATTTAATTTAAATTTGATGTTTACCTTTCCTTCCAAAAGCACTGGAAAATTGTAATTTAAAACACGTGAAACAAGATTTGTCAGAAAGTTTGCTAATTATTCTCATTTAAGTTGATCTGCTTTTGCGAAGTAAGAAAGTGTAAATTAAAACAGCGCACCTATTTGACCAATCATACTAGCAAAATCTCTTCGTAGGTAATCTATTTTGTAGTAAAATTCATAGTAATTGTCGCTGTTTTAAGAATTAAAATGCTTTAAAGAAGCTAAAAACCAACTCAAACCGTTTTAGTGCTGATATACATTTGTGTATTGCTTTTAATGAGGTTTACTTTAAAGAAGACAAAAAACAACGATTTGCGTTTTATTTACAATTTTCCCTTATTTTTAAGTAAAAAGGTAGTACCCACAGGGTAAGTTCGTATGTTTTGCAGATGATATAACAGTTGTTACAAGAAATAAAAATCCTGACACTAGGGCTAAAGAACTACAACTTAATTTGGAAAATATAGCGTCATATCTAGGTGCAAATAAACTCGTTTTTAATCAGGAAAAAACTTATATAATGCAATTTTTTTCTACTGCAAACCAATATACTTCTAGTTCCTTGATAAGTTTAAATAACAAAAGTATTGAACAGGTAACCAATTTTAAACTTCTTGGCATAACACTTGACTTGTCATTAAGATTCTACCAGCATGTTGACATTGTTTGTAAAAGGTTATCAGGTTATTGTTTTGCTTTAAAACGACTTAATCAAATAGTAAGTAGGGTGCAGCCTTCTGTTTTTATCATTCAAATTTTGAATCGTCTTTACGATATGGTGTTATTTTATGGGGAAATAGCTCCTCCGTAAATCGTGTGTTACGATTGCAAAAAAGAGCAATAAGATGTACTTTTCCTTCCTTATATATTTTTGAAATTTTATCTTTTGTTCACAATAACATAAGTCAATTTAGATCATTAAACGTTTTGGTCATCATTTAGAACATTGTATTCATAATTTTACTTTGTTTGAAAAAAATCCTTACTATATTGGTACTGTTTTATATAATAATATACCGGATTATTTAAAAAGCATTCGCAAGTTGCAATCATTCAAACGTGAAATAAAAAATATTCTAATTGAATGTTGTTTTTACGATTTAAATGAATATTTAAGGTTTAATTTTAAGTTTTATAATAAGAGTTTTCCTCTTCTTTTTATGTCACTATTTTTTTTTTTTTATAATTATTAATTTGTTTTTTATGACTTGTCCCATATCTGTAAAGGTTATGGATTAATAAATGATTTATTTATTAAAACCTATACCTAGCAAAATTGGTGGTAAGATACTGAAAATACAAGAAAAATTTAATACATAAAGGGTTATAAAAAACGTAGTGGCTACAGACACGTCCATCGTTCATCGACCAAATTGGTTATGTGTGTTAAGTTAATAGACAATAAAAAAGCTATTTTTATAAAATGAAGTATTTTTGAGAAAAAAAAATAGTGACCACTAGACCATGTGTTTTAAATTAGGCAAATCATATTATTAAGGGTTAAGTAGCTCAGGCGGGATTAAGCACAATTCCGCGCGCTCAGAATTGTGCTTAAGCCGGCCTTAGTAACAATTCGGGATTATGCTCAAGCCCATCGTACTAGCAAGTTTTGTTCAAAAGATACTTCCTTTAGATCAAATGACCAATAAGAAAATTATTCAACATAAAATTAATTAAACAAGGCCCCGATTAAAAACGTTGTTGCCCTACGGGAAAGTTTATTGACTAAAGTTTTTATAATTTAAATTATTATGTGTACGAAACTTCATCTCGATAAGAAGTTTTAAAATTTTAAAATCAACAAAATCAAGGGCGCTAACTTTTTTCTGTTTTTAAAGTAAAATTCTTATCAATGTTTAAAATTAAAACAAAAATTATATTCTTTAAATATTTTACTTGTTAACATAAATGATCCAATTATTTTAAGTTTGGCATTATTTATTTATTATTGTTTAACTTGCTGAATACAAAAATATAGTCAAAATTCCATATTATATGGAAAATTGCCTATATCTCAAAAACTGTTCTACTTTTATAACTTTTGACATTATTGGATTCAGCGGACAATTTTACATCGGAATTGACTGCTAAATGTCCGGAAAACCTATTGCTGTTGAAGAAAATTATTGGTGACTGCTTTTTCGCAATGAGAAATAGTCAATTTTCACCTATTCATTTTAAGGAAGTGACAATTTAATTTTAAAGTCTATATTTTTTTCTAATACGATATTTCAATTAATTCCCTGGGTGATTCATGTGGTATACATCAAAATAAATCTGGATAAAGCAACAAAATAATTTAGTATTATATTAATATTATTTCATTATACGGAATATACTGCAGGGTATTAATCTCGAGCCGCCAGGCGACTAACATACTCATGTATGTTACCACAAGTTATTAATTATTTTAAAGTATAATTTAATTGAAAATTTGAACAGTAGAAATTCCAAATTTGATTTAACTAGCACATGCTGTAATATTAATAATAACCCATGTTAATTTTGGGTGAGCTACGGCTACTTTATTATTACTTTAATTCCGAGAATAATTATTTACCCAGAACTAAGTTAAATTTTACTTAATGAAAATTAGATAATATCTTATTTCCTTAGTGTCTTAAGTACGGCCATAAAACAACATAAAAGGTCCTAATTGACATTAGGGTAATTAAAAATGCTTTATTAAATATAGTTTAAAAAAATTCTAAAAGGGTTTATTAATATCAATTTTCAAAATGTTCAAAATATTTAAATATTGAGTAAAAACACGTCAAGTGGACCCCCCATTTTCCACTTGATCATCGAATTTGAATGTGAGTATTTTTTCATAAAGTAGTCACCATGAACAAATAATCCCCCGCTCAGTTTTTTAAAATTTTAATTTTAACAACAATTTTTTTTTAATTGAAAATTTTTACTACTTTTAGTTAAAAAATTAATAATGAAAAAACTATTGGTGATTTTTTAATGAAATTTTCAGGAGTTATAGTTCAATACTTGTACTTTAAGAAAATATGTATGAATTTGAATTATTTTTTTTTTTGCATATTGTTAATTCACTTTTAAGTTAACAAATAAAAATTTTAATGACTTCTCCCTCAAAAAATGAAAATTTTTTTGTTCAGTATTAAACAATAAACATTCAAGTAACGAAATCCGCAAAAAAATTTGACTGATCGCGATTAGATTAAGCAAAAAAAATTTTTTTTTGACGGGCGGTCAGCGCTGCCGGTATTGCGCGCTGCCACGCGCCATTGACTTACCTTTAGATTTACTCTGTAATTATAAATAAGGAATATTACTTAATCTTTTAATTAAAAATATCGTTATTTTATGATTAATTTTATTTAAACAAATGACAGAGATAATAAATTATATATTTTTTTATAAATAAAAAATAGAGATAATAAATTCTAGCAGTATTCTGCTATTTATTTTCATTTATTGTTTTTAAAAAACTTAATGAATCATAATTATTTTAGTTTTTTTTAAAATATATTGTTAATTTAATAAAAAAAAACAAAAAATGTTATCAGTTACCCAACGTTGGTTAAACTGGTTATAACCAATATCAGTAAATAAATATTTTGTAACAATCTTGTCAAACGTCAAACGTCTTGACGTTTTATTTAATAACTTTGTATTAAATCGTTTTTATTGTTCTAAATTTAATTAGTTTCTTCCGAATTTGTTTAAAATTTTATTACTGTATTGAAGTTTATTGCTCTTTTGGATCAATTTCAATTTCATTATTTATTTGCAGCATTTATTTACGCGGCTCATGACTAATTAAATATTAAGTATTAACAAAATTACGAACACCAATAAACTTCAATACAGTAATAAAATTTTAAACAAATTCGGAAGAAACTAATTAAATTTAGAACAATAAAAACGATTTAATACAAAGTTATTAAATAAAACGTCAAGACGTTTGACGTTTGACAAGATTGTCACAAATATTTATTTACTGATATTGGTTATAACCAGTTTAACCAACGTTGGGTAACTGATAAAATTTTTTGTTTTTTTTATTAAATTAACAATATATTTAAAAAAAAACTAAAATAATTATGATTCGTTAAGTTTTTTAAAAACAATAAATGAAAATAAATAGCAGAATACTGCTAGAATTTATTATCTCTATTTTTTATTTATAAAAAAATATATAATTTATTATCTCTGTCATTTGTTTAAATAAAATTAATCATAAAATAACGATATTTTTAATTAAAACATTAAGTATTATTTTTTATTTATAATTACAGAGTAAATCTAAAGGTAAGTCAATGACGCGCGGCAGCTCGCTATACCGGCAGCGCTGACCGCCCGTCATAAAAAATTTTTTTTGCTTAATCTAATCGCGATCAGTCAAATTTTTTTGCGGATTTCGTTACTTGAATGTTTATTGCAAAATACTGAACAAAAATTTTTTCATTTTTTGAGGGAGAAGTCATTAAAATTTTCATTTGTTAACTTAAAAGTGAATTAACAATATGCAAAAAAAAATAATTCAAATTCATACATATTTTCTTAAAGTACAAGTATTGAACTATAACTCCTGAAAATTTCATTAAAAAATCACCAATAGTTTTTTCATTATTAATTTTTTAACTAAAAGTAGTAAAAATTTTCAATTAAAAAAAAATTGTTGTTAAAATTAAAATTTTAAAAAACTGAGCGGGGGATTATTTGTTCATGGTGACTACTTTATGAAAAAATACTCACATTCAAATTCGATGATCAAGTGGAAAATGGGGGGTCCACTTGACGTGTTTTTACTCTATTCTGTTTTGCATCGGCAAATCGCGATATCGATAATATCAATAAGAACATCCCAACTTTAAAAGTAAATTAAACTATTTTGATTGGATACAAAAATATTGTCAATGTTTAATGTTTAAACACAATTTCATTCCAGTGGCCACCACATCTTTTTATGCATTGTAATGAGTGCATACAAAATTGTATTTAACCACTTCATGACTTCATTCTACAGTTGGCCTTTTGTAGTACCTTTGGGGTCTATTTTTCCTAGATTGATCAAACGTTTTCCAGCCATCTGAGCTTCCTAAAGAAATTCTTAAAGGCGGCAGGAGAGATAGATGTTGGTTGGTTCTTTACCTATGGTGGATTTTATGAATTTAAGAAAACCAGGTGGATTACACTCCCTTCCCCCCAGTTACAAGCTTTGTAAAAAAGCGTGCATAGGTAATTGTTTAGTCTACAGTGTCTTGTTATGATTTTGACAAGGTCAGAAAGGTTTTGACGAAATAGCTCTAGGAATTACAGTTTTGGTCTGAGGGCATAAACTAAGGTTAACTCCATCTTCCTTGTTTTTTTATAAGTTTTTTTTTATTTCGACTTTTAAGATTGATTTTGTTACAAGCAAGACAGGTTCAGAAGTATTTATTTACATCTGATACCGAGGATTGTAGCTGTTAACTTGTAATTTTGTTTATCCACAAAAAATAATCCAATACACAAGCTTACAATCTTACCTGTATAACTTTTTGCGCAATAAGTTCATTATTATGTCAACATTGTGGCAAGTATTACCAACTTATTGTATTATCAATATCATAAATTTTTGTGAAAAACACTGGTTTTCTATTTAGGGTAACTTCCTCATTAAAAAAATTAGGATCGAAGATGCCATGCTCTCATAATTCACACATTTATGCTTAATTATCTACATGGATTACTTGTAGATTGAATACACTACAATAACCGTAATTTGGCTTATTATCAGTTATAAAGCCATAAATGAGCCTCGCCAGAGAATACTATTTTCTGCACAAAGTGCTCGAGTGGGTCGAACACAACCAGAACTTCAATATTCATTTTTAAACATTATGGTGGATTAAAATGATTTAGGTTGAAACACTACTAAAGTCAAAACAAATTTATCATTGATTTTTAAAAGTTTGGACATCCTTATTGGTTAGCCCTATAATTTTAATTCCGGCTGAATGATTATAATAATAAGTGCTTAATCTGACTTTCTTTTAAGATTTTTATACACCAATTTATCAAAAAAAAAATATATAACACTATTTATATGTATATCCTACCTCTTCAATCCAAAATAATGGTAACACCGAACTGGGCATAGTCTTAAACAAATCCACTTTATCATTGGCATTTAAAGGCATATTAAACTGTAGTCGCTTTTTCGCATACAAAGGACTTCCTGTAGTCTAAAAAGTTTAATAAAAAATAATTACAATTTGTGTATAATAAATGTATATGCCTGTCAAGTATGTATACGTGAGTTAAATTTAAAAAAATACATTTTTTGATCAACCAAACTAAATTAACTTTTGATAGAAAGAGCATTTTCATTAAAAAATCAATAACTGGTAAATGAAAGTAAAAAACATAATAAAGTAAAACAGGGTTTTATGGAGAATTTAAAGCAATATCAGCTCGTTTTAACCATTGTTTTAAAAAACGAAAACAAATCTCAACATCTGCCATTTAATCAATATTTTAAAGCTTTATTTAAATTGAATCTCAATTTGACTATTTTTAAAAAATGAAATTTTAAAAGGATTTAAAATAGTTGGTCGTATTGTTATTATATTATTATTTTGATTTAGAATTGAGTTTGCATCGATTGGAACTGTTTAAGTCGAATCCAGTTTACATTGGTGCATTATTGTATAACAAATTGGAAGCCAGTCTCAAAATGCAACCTTTAAATTCATTTAAATCTAACCTAAAATTGTTTCTACTAGAGAAAGCGTATTATTCGGTGGATGAGTTCTTGAGTGGCTAATGTAAGATGATAATTAGAAATTTTTGTATTTATATATATTTTTAAATTTTGTATTGACTTGTCTTATATCATAGTATATGATCTTTGGACCAATAAATATTATTATTATTATTATTATTATTATTATTATTATTATTATTTAATTCAGAGTATACATGGTGCCTATTTAAAAACGAGTCTGGACCTACAATGGATATCAAAAGTTTTTTTTAAGCCACACAATTTTTAAAAAAAGCAACATCCCCTTTGTGATACCTTATTAAAAATCTCTTAAAAATTTCGAATTAATAGTACTAAACAAAATATTTTTAATCCAAGTCTGTGGAAAATATTAAATTATTTTAAAACAAAAATAACAAAGTTTAAACCTTAACGAAAAAAATGCAGTATTTTGGATTATTTTACAACACCTACCGTCTCAAATAAAATTTTAATTTGGTGTATCTCTGCATCGGGCGAAAGGCCTTGAACTCCATCCAGATAACTTTTATCGGCATCTAGGAAATGAGGCAGCGAGGCATAAATGGGAACTCCGGTGCATTTAAACAGGTCCATCAGACCTTTTTTCAGACACGTTTCTGGAGTAGTGCAGTAACATTTTTCGTTGGCATTAGTCGAACTGTCGCCTAAATTTGCCGTAAACATTTTTGCGGGTATACCATCGTAATTTTCTGGTTTCACAAAAAACGCTTTTAGAGATCTAAAAATAATCACACAATGTCGACATGTCTTTTAATAATGGTATGTACATTAACTAAGGGTTTGCATTTGCAAAAATTGATTTATGAAAACATAAAATTTTAAGATAATAGTCACGTTCAAACTCTTGACAAGGTAAGAGTTATAGCAACCGAGACCTCGATCAGAACCCAAATTTTACATCTCACAATAGACTACTCCTACAGTGGAAATAAACTATAATGCAGTTTATCTACAGTGAAATTAAGGCCACCTTACGGTCACGGAAGTAATAAAGTGGGAAGTGATAAGTGACAGCATACCTGGCGGACGAACCACCTGACAATAGGAAGCATTTTATGTTAAGAACAAACGAGACTAACCAAGAATAGGAGGGGCCATCATCTGCAACATTCGATAAGTACTCTTAACTGACCGCAATACGTAAATTTTCAACATTAACCACGTTCAGATACCTAGACAACCATGAGAGCGGGTTTCCCCTTAAAAACAACCCTACTGAAAAAAACAATTTAAGACAAATATCCACAGCAACATTAATAAAAAGACAATAGTAACAACACAATACAAAAAATGGGAATAGTGACAAAACAATACAAAAAAAAAACAATAAAACCAAGCCGTCCCGAATCTTATCGCTAACATTCACGGGATTATAGCTGAGCAAGACAAATAAATAAATTACCAAGTAAGTCACAAAATCCATAAAAACAACAAATTAATCAAAGGGGATCCCCACAAGAAGAAAAAGTTACCCTATCAGGGACTAATAAAACCATAGATTAAATCTATGAAGAAACTAAACACATATTAAGATTACATTGACACACTCACACACAGGCTAAAGGACTTGTGCATTCTCAAAACACAAGATACATATTACAACACTCACTAAAGAAATAAGAAATACATGTCAATATTAAACAGAAATGCTATGACTGAAACTAGTTTTGAATTTAAGTCTATATACAGGGTGTCCGGAAAAAGGAGGTCAATCCGTTAACCATATATTCCTTGAGTTAAAACAAACAAAGACTTTCATAATACCATTTTTCAATTTAGAGCTTCATGCTCGATATACAGGGCGACAAAGTTTTAAATTTAAAACTGATTTTTTTTAATAATTCGAGTAATTGATAAGATATTAAGTTTTAATTCGGTACACTACTTCAACATAAATAGTTACATTTTTGGAGACCAACAAAACAAAAAACAATTGTCAAATAATCAAAATAGAGGGGTCCAGTACTCACTGACTCCCCCTATTTTTTAGTACGTACGCCAATGACTTCCAAACGGTATTTTTTCAGGTAATCATTTATTGTTAAACATTTTTTGTCTACTATAAAATTTTGATAAAATGATTTGTTTTAGAGATAATTTGTAAAGTATGGGTCAGTCCATATCAAATTTAAAAAATTTAATAAAAAAAAAAAAATTAGGTCATGTGATATATCATAAAAAAGGTCTCTAATAGGCCTTTAAAATATGCCACCACTCACCTTTCTACTTTTAATAGTTTACGAGATATCGCTATTTTTGTAAGTACTTGCAAGACCCAAATTTATCGGAATTTTTTGATTTTCAAAAATCAATAAAACAAAAGCCACCTATCGAAAAAAATTCATATATGGGATTTTTGAGTTTTTTAGTGAGGTAAACAAATTTACCAAAAATTATCAAAATCGGAGATGGTGGGGGAAGAACCTTTGGTTGATTTGATATGGACTGACCCATACTTTACAAATTATCTCTAAAACAAATCATTTTATCAAAATTTTATAAGAGACAAATTTTTTTTAACAATAAATGATTACCTAAAAAAATACTGTTTGGAAGTCATTGGCGCTCGTACTAAAAAATAGGGGGAGTCAGTGAGTACTGGACCCCCCCTATTTTGATTATTTGACAATTGTTTTTTTGTTTTTTTGGTCTCCAAAAATGTAACTATTTATGTTGAAGTAGTGTACCGAATTTAAAATTAATATCTTATCAATTACTCGAATTATTAAAAAAAATCAGTTTTAAATTTCAAACTTTGTCGCCCTGTATATCGAACATGAAGCTCTAAATTCAAAAATGGTATTATGAAAGTCTTATTGTTTTAACTCAAGGAATATATGGTTAACGGATTGACCTCCTTTTCCCGGACACCCTGTATAGATCTTTAAAATAAAGGTAGGGTCTTAGATTTTAAAATAAAATAAAAAAGATTTTCAACAGAGTAAAAAAATTATCATGCAATGTATCAAAATGTGTGTGTATTTAATTCCCAGAAAGAAATTGTTTAGTACATCCTATAATATTGTACCTGCATAAATCTGGAGAAAACGACACCAATCCCTCTTCGTTAGTTAAGAACGGGGGGAAAATCGTACCATCAGTACCATGTATTTCGTTGCACTGTTTTGTTGGCCAGTTTTCAATAACAGATTGGTTATCGTACTTAACAATTTCGCCCAGCTGATGAGCATTTTTTACACCTCTGTAAACCTGAAACCTTTTTCCAGCAGTACCATTTTTCTAAATAAAAACATATTGTTAGGTTGTTTTGAGAATAATGTAAAAAAATATAAGTTTTATTTATTTATTGTAAAAAATCAATGAAGATGACATCTACCTAAGTAAGGTTTATATATTAAATATTTAATTTAAGTACGTAGTTAAAATCAAATTATTGAATAAAATAGGTCGCGAAAAGGAATATGTTATTTCGTAGCCTTGCTGAATGGGAAAATAAAATAATTTTCTGATTGTTAATTTCTAAACATTAACCTGTAATAACTTTTATAAAATTAATCAATGAAATAGTATTTTACCCCCTATTTAAAGTTAAGAATTAGAGAATTCATTATTTTGCACACTCTGAGCTGGGCCACGAAATTACATATTTACATATAAATAAGTATTGTTGGAATTGATATTAGGCTTTAACATTTTCAAAAATAAACGATAAAAAACAATTTTTGATATTCTTAATAAATTTATTCATAATTGCTATGATAAGTAATAATCATATACCATTTATAATCTAAATGACGACTTAAGATTAATTCTAGAAAGATCTTTAAAAGCATCACGATATTTAAACAATTATTAGTCTTGCATAAAAACATGAATATTCTGAATACTTACAGCTCCAAGTAATGAAAATATCAGATCGTTTTCATTTAAATTTGGCAACGCGCTTTTAAGTTGGCTGCAAATTGCTTTTCCAGCAAAGTCCTTTATGCCACATTTTATTACAATCCCATCGAATAAGATGTCTTTTGCTTTTGCTGTTAAAAAAATGTTGGATGGATTTTCATAAATACTTTTAATGGCTTTGTTAAGCAAAGACAGAGCTCCTGGTTTTTGGATTGTTACTGCATTTACCAAACCCTAAAAAAGACATTTCAATTTGTTTTCTATGATAGGTACTTGTTTTATTTTATTTTTTTAATATTATATTGTTTACAAAAAATAGTTTTCTTAACAGTTAGTCTATAAAAAAAGTGTATTCAATTTATTCCCTATATTTCTTACTATTGAGTATGAGTATGATGAACGTATGCTGGCCCCATCAGCATCATTATACAATGGTCTCCCATAGTTTTTTTTACCCCCTTTCGGTTCTCCTACCTCTGACTTTAACGAAGATTCAGCCATATTCCCAGTCGTTATTTACTTGCTGAAGGTAAGAAACCGATGCATAGCGCTGTGCGTTTGCCTAAGAGATTATACGTTCTTTATGGAGGTGGCCACTTTGATTGAATGCTTAATTTATGGCCTTTTATCTTATATTTTCTTACTATTTTTCCAACTTTGGTTTTTATTCAAATAAGTACAAATAAAAAATCGTGTAGAAAAATCATAAACAAATTCTTCAAATAGTCTTTTTAGTAAAATTTAGTTAAGTTTCATTCAACAGAAAAAATTATAACCATTTTTTTTTAATATTGAGTAAGAATATCATGCTGCATTTATTCAATAAAAACCATCGAGTTAGGAACGTTGGGTTAGAAATGTTAGGACAAGTTGTTACTGACTTAACTTTGAGCACAAGGAAATTAGCTACGGTTAATAAAATTCCTAAAATGACCATTTAACGGATACTTGATTCACATAAACTTTCTATCTCCAAAATTCATTAAGTCAATAAATTAAATGAGGACGATTTTGTTCAGGACTTTTGCGAAACTATGACTGAACAAGTAGCTAATTATGAGAATTTGCTTTTAAACTTTTGGCGACTTTATATTTTTTCTGAACTCAACTGTCAAACGCCATAATTGAATAGGTCAATGCAGAAACTGAATATGTCCACTTTTTAGGGCTATTGAGTTAAACATGGATTTACTATAAGTAAAGGGAGCCCGATCGAATGGCGTAGAAATTTTACATGTCACGGTAATCTAGAATATACAAAGGCGTTAATATAGTAGAGAAACTGAATATGTCCAGAACATATGTCCACTTTCTGTTCAGTTTTTCTTATTTATCTCAAAACTAGATAGGTAGGACATATTCAGTTTCTGCATTGACGTATTCAATTGTTGCACAGGTTATATGTAAGTCGACACTTAAACTTCTTGAAGACTTAATGTCCGGGCAGGTGTTATCGGAGAATGTTTGGTTGGTAACCTGACAGGATAAACGCGTTTAGAATTACTAGGAGAAGTAGTTTACTAAAATAATTATTTAAATCAATGACTGCTACTTGGAAGAACCCACAAGATAGGGCTCTTGTAAACAATGCACTACCTGTTATAGTTTTTAGACGGAATGTTTCCTGGAAAATGGATTGGCAAAGATTAACTTTGAATTGGCCGGCCAGATCTTCAGATTTGATCCCTTTAGATTTTTTTCTTTTGGGATAGTAAAACGTAAAATGTACGCAACAGGGTCTTTATAAGAGTTGGGTCTTTATAAGACTTGCGAAGCTGGTTCAATGTTATTCTCATTGTTTTTATACAAAAAACTTCTTATGTATGTAAGTTTCTATTTAAATTTAAAACAAAGTGCATTTCAATTTTAAGAATTTTGAAAATGAATGAATATAATTGGATTTTTAGTGATACTTTTTAAGGTATTACTTGCCTTAGTAAGCCATTTAAAATTTTAGAAGTAGTGGCCACCCTTTTTGAATTAAAACATAATGATTTTTTAATAATGGTATAAATTGAATTACATTTTTCAAAACCATTAAATATTTTTTTTTATAAAATATACTAACCAATATCATTGGATGTGGTATTGTTACCATCGTATCAGGATCCACACACCCTGGCCAATTGGCTGGAAGAAAAGTGTCTGTTTGATTATACATTAACATATCTTCCTCTTCTATATCTTCCACTCCGACTTTAACCTTCCATTCTCTAAAAAAATAGTTTTTTTATAATACAAAAAACTGATTACATCCTTTATTTTTGCTTACTCGTAACAAAAAGGACCTACTTGTTGGACTATAGGTTTTTCCCCATTTTGAATACCATCTGGGTTACTTATATTAAACATGAATATTCTAAAATCTAGGTAAAAGGGAATTTTGATGAACATATCTCGAATCTCATTGCCAGGTTTTAGTGCTGTCATCTAAAAATTGCAAAATACATAAATTTTAATATTACTAATATTATTTAACTGTAAAATTTATTTCAAATAAAGAGGTTTATCACGTATTACTAGAAAACATATTAATTACAAATTATTGGAAATATAACTTTAAATTAAAAGTTTAGTAGTATTAATTTTATACTTATGCTTTAATTAATTATGTCATTAAATTATTATAATTCTATACAATAATTTTATAGTAATAAAATAATTATTATAATTTTTAATTATTCAATATATTATATGTATATTAGATATATTCTATACATACAGTGTTGGCCATAATTTTTGGAACCACTGTAAAAAAATCTAACTCTAAAACGCCTTTATTATTCTTTATGTACTTTTGTTTACGTGTTCGAGGGTTTTTCGAGAAAGTATTTTTAAATTCCTTTTATTTAATAGTAAAAAAACTTTTAGGGTAATTTTGTTTTAAGTAAATAAAAAATATGCTGTTAAAGACCGTATTTTTGTTAGTATACCCTGAAAATGTTGTACCAATTAAACGAAAAGTAACGAAGATACAGCGCTTCAGAGTCGGTAAAAATGGCCCCTTTTTGATTATTTTGCTGAAAAGTGGTCATGTTTCGAACGTTTTTTCATTATTAAATAAAAGGGCTTTAAAAATATTTTCTTGAAAAACCCTCGAACACGTAAACTGAGATATAAGTTGAAGTATTTTTATCCAAAATTTCATAAATAATAATAAAGGCGTTTTAGAGTTATTTTTTTTTACAGTGGTTTCAAAAATTATGGCCAACACTGTATATCAAATAAAGTCGGTTTTCCACTCCCACCCTTACATTATCGTACCCTTTTTACATGATACTAAGTGACCTTTCAAATACACATTGGCAATTTGTGGGCTGAAGTTAGCAACAGCTTTTTAGTCACGGGCTAAAGTTAGTTTTAAGTTAGTTTACAGTTGTCACAATCGTTAAAATAAACTGCCTTTCTTGTAAAATAATACTATGAGTATGAGTATATGAGTATAAGAGACGTATAACCAGCCCCATTTCCTCTTGACTCTCGAACCCCGTACAGGCCTATGTTTACTTACGCCGATTTTTGTTCTTCCCCAGCAACTGCACGGCTTCACCCGTGTTTGCTGGGTGCGAATGTCCATTGCGTTCCGTACTGTCCCCTATTTGGGGCTCGAGAGCGAGAGGCGAATAGTTATAATAGCCATTCCCGGGTTCGCCGAGCCTATGCTATACGCTCGGTGGGGTATGGATGAGGGACGGGAGGGAGTTGGTTTTTGGGGGACAATTACGCCGACTTAAAACTAAGTACGACGCGGAATCCCCCTAGACCAGTCGATTAGTATTACTCCAAACATTTGGGATTACTATTTGGAGTTGGGGAGTTGTTATTTCGCTGCAGGGGTGTAGTCTCCTAGTCGAGGTCTTTGTCTTGTTCGTTATTGTCATTGTCCGTGTCCTGGTCAGATAGTTCCTGCCCTTGGTAAAGTGTGTCAGTTGTTTTTAATAATTTTTGTCCCAAGCACGTTTTGTGGTAGTTCCGTCTTTGTTTATCAAATTCCAAAGCATTGCATTTATTCACTAGTCAAACAAATCACAAGCGCGATTATTCTGTTGTCTAATGTTTACGAATCTCGAGTTTGGCTATTAGGCCCTTTTTTTTTAATGTGTTAGAATTATGTGATCAATGTTAGTTTACTCTGTCAGTCCAGTGTTTATTTTCGGTCTCGATTGGGACCGCCTTACGCATTTGCTGTTGACAGACTTATTGCCCCACGCCGCGTGCCCTTCATAGGTTTTAAAGATATCCCAATAAACACTTTAACGATACCTATCACCATTAACATCGCCCGTGTAAGAATTTTTAACACTTTTTAATACAATTTTGCAATGATAGTAATTAAAACAAAACAATTGTTTAAAGAGTAAAATATGATCTTAACATAATCATATTTTAAAGTTATTTTAACATTTCAAGTAAAATAAATGTTATGTTTAATAAAATGAATACGGGCAATGTTAATGGTGACAAATACTTTTTTTCAAATTTAATTTAAAACTAGCTTAATACAAAATAAATAGCCGGCCCTGTGGTGCTTCGCATTAAAATCTGAAACGGCCCCGGTATCAGGCGTGTAACGTATGCTTCAATAGATGGTTTATTTACGTTATGTTATTGCGTGGGCGCTTTGTTTATTTACCTTCCTTCAAGCTTTGCCTTGTGGCTGAGTTGCAAGTCGCGTATATTATACAATATATATAATACAATAATATAATATTGCGACGTTCCTGCTTGATTCCTTTTCGCACACTTACGCTGTTTTCGGCAATGGTTAATTGTTGCCAGTTTTTTTTTTACAGATTTGCGTATTAGGTCATGCAATAATACTTATCAGAGTCGGCTGGTGATGGTGATGGTGATGATCCCTTTCGCCGCTCTTTGTTAGACTTGTTTTTTTTTTTTTCTTTAAATAGGTGATTCCTTGACCTGTCCCCTGTCACTTTATTACTTCGTGTCCGCACGAACCTCACTCCTATGTTCACCGTTGAGAGATTGCCTTTTGAGGAATTATTTAATGTTTCTATTAACCCCTCGGAGAACAGGTACCCTGATTTCACCTGTACCGTTATGTATACATACTATAGTCACCCAAATAGTAGCACTGTTTCGCACCGTACTTTACTCGACTACACTGTATATAATAGTTATGTTTCTTTAAGAATTTGATTGTGGATCGGCGCCGAGCGCTCGAACTACACATCCGATCGCTTCGCCGGTATCGACAGTACTGAGCCTTTCTTGTAAAATAATACTAAATGTAAAAATTATTTTATTATCCAAAAATACAAAAGTTTAAATGCACTTTGTAACTTTTGATTTCGCCAGCAGTAAACTAGATTTAACTGCTTAAGCATTAAAAATTAAAAATATTATCTCTACTTTTACTGTAAAAACTGCTTCTGTAGTACAGAATCTGTACCATTTACAAATAAAAATTTGACATTTACAAGGTAGAATGGTTATTCCCTTGTTTTATAGATGTCGCTCTATACAAATATTTAATTTAAATCATTTTAAGATAATAAGTATTTGTAGTAAAAAAAAGTACAGTATGCAACTCGTTTATAAACTTTTACACTCGCAAGCTCGCTCGTGTCTGATGAAAATTCGTGACCAAAATGGCGCTTATCAAACTTGATACATAATAAGCCTTTAAATTGGAAATATATTTAATATAAAATGTATAGAATATTTTACAAAATATAACTGTATACGATAAAAATACATTTCAAAATATATATTTAAATATATATTAATCAAACCATTTGTTTTATTAAATAAATCATTGTTTCCCAACATTTTTATTTCCCTAAAAAAGCTGACTTTTACAGGTTGCACCTTTTGTGTGTATTATACACATAAAAGGATAATACCTTTATGCTATTTTTTTAATTTGAGGTCGGTTAAATTGGAAAAAAGTTGCGTAATTACAATTCAATTAAAATGGCATTTAAAAGATGGAAAGAAACCTGCGTTTCTCAAATAATTTTAAAAAATTGAAATCCTGTCAAAACCAAAAATCGTTACATCTTCATTATTCCTGGGAATTTTTGAAAAAAATAGCTTCACATGTAAATATTTATCTACATTGAAGCTCTTTAAAGATACATAAAACTTTTATAATAGAAAGATACCCTGTATACTACTAAATTTTAGAACAAAAAAAAATTGTGTCAAGAAAAAGAAAAGCATTATTTTAAATTCTTTTTTATCTTTTTTAACGTAACCGATAAATTATACATGTGTATTATAGGGAGCTGGGAAATAACAGGTGTTTAAGCTCATATGAATTCTACCTATTTTTAAAAGCATGTAATATTTAGATATGCTTTTAAATTAAAAATGTTTACAAATTTACATTTAACTTACATTTTACATTACTTACCCAAGCATTAGAAACAAAAAATCCTTTTTTAAAGCATTATAAAACTAAATAATTATTTTAACGCCATAAATAAAGAGTTTACCAATAAGAACGGTAAACGACTTTGGTTTGAAATGTAGGCTTTTGCATATTAATAAAGCCATTTGCCAAAAAGACGCAAAAACAATATTTTCTGTACGAAGTGGACCACTTTAAGTGGTTTTCAAACAGAATTTTAATTTCGATAATAAGTTTGGAATATTTCTAAACATTGTAGTAGAATAAAATAATTTATAATGAACTTTAAACCTTACTAAGCGCATGAAATAAGAGAAAATGTCAAAGATATTTTTTTAAACATGGTTCGGACAATTCAATTGGTAAGCCCTTTACAATTTAAATGTAAAGTCTGTACCCCAGAACCAATTGTCCCCCTTTTTAAAATCTTATGACACATTTTCTGCTTAAATTTGTTCGCTCTTTTTAATGATAAACAGGATTAAAGTCAAATTTTTCACTTGAGCGGAATATGCCCTATTCAAAACTTGTTACGGAATATAATATTCTTATATAAATACAATTAAAAAGTAGGTACAGTTTTGTTTGTTTTAGGTGAGAAAATTATATTATATATGTATTTGTATACGTCGCTAATAACCTATAATGGTTGATGCGACCTGTTTTCTTGTGCTTAAATAAAAAAAAAGGTAAGAAAATTCTTAAATTAGGTACGTACTTTATAAAAATAGGTACTGGAAAGAAAATTTTGGTGGTAAAATTATTCAATTTTTTATTTTATAAATTTGTATTGAACAAGGCAGTCCCGTGCGCAAGGGGGGTTTTGGGGGGTTTAAACCCCCCATTGAACGTCTTAAAATAAAAAAAAAACATTATACCACTCAAAATGTACCTAATGAAAATAGTTAAACTGTTAAAACAAATTCAATAACCACCAAAATAAAAAAGAAAACAACCATCAATTAACTAGACACATCTTTTATTATTATACTAATGCATATTTTTTTTGTAATTTTCATAATAAAATTCTATATTTAATTTTTTTACATGAAAT